GTGATTTATTAAACTGTGGTTTTCTGAACAAGCATAGGGGGCTGATCCACACAAACTGCTCAGCTATAGTGGATGGGTTCGTATGCTGTTAAGTCAAAAATAAACCGCACTGTATCTTAGTGCTGTCGGAAAGAAATATCCATCGGGTTCAGTTCCAAGCTGGGAAAAAGACACTGGAAACATGGAGGCTGATAGGAAAGATGGTTTATTGATGAAGCAGAACCACATGTGATTCTGGGCAGCTGACAAAATGGAGTTGAGAGTGGGTTTTTTTTATACCTTCTCTGGGTTTTTGAGCTTTCTGTTCCTGTGCAAGAACATATTTTCTATTGGCTGTTGTCAGACTCCCATGGGGCCATGTAGGAGTTATGTAGGGGTCATAGCTGGCTCTATAGGCAAAGTACAAATCCTAGGTGTTTGTCTGAGCTATGTTTGGTTAAAGTTTGGGTGATGCAGTGAAGGGGCTTGTGTTCTGAAAGGGTGTTGGACAATTCCTATTGTGGCTTAATGGCTTTTTCCTTTTGTTGGATCTTGGGTGATGGCTGCTTCTAATCCTACCATTCTGCCTTTGTTTCAAAATATCCTGTCTTGAATGGATTACCAAATCTGCATTTCTAAAAACTGCCACAGTATCTGCTGGAGCTATTAAGAAAAATTGAGTCTGCTTCCTGCCTCTAAAAAAACCCATGTTTCTCCATTTCTCCCTTTGGGGAAATATAATACTCTGCCTTTTTTTTTTAATATTCCTCAAAATATTTCATTCTTATAGGAGGGTGGGTGCTGACTTTCTACAGTGCGATATGCAGAGATGGTTTATAAACACTATGAAATAAATAAATGTACATGTACTTTATAACAAAGTTGAGGATGGAGGAAGAGTTGCCTTCCACTCCCTGTTTCCTTGGTAGGACAATTCCTGTTTCATTACAGGAGATTTTGGATAGTATGAAAGCTGCGAGTGTGTTAGGATCAAAAATAGGAGCATGATTTACACATAAGCTTTTACTGGTTTTTATTCTTCTACCCATGCATGCGTTAGCAGGCCTTCTATCTGTGAAATATAAACACAGAATTTCCCAACTGAACAACATCTAGATATTTGGACCAACTTCCAGAATTTTCAGCAATAACTAGGGTTATGTTTATTGGAAATTTTGGAGTTCAGTTGCTGCATCTGGAATTTGCTCAATTTATGACTTCAGCAACAGAGTGTTCAATGCCTGGAATGCACTACCTAACTCTGTGGTTTCATCCCAAACTCCCCCAAATTTTAACCTAAGACTGTTTACTGTTGACTTCACCCCATTCCTAAGAGGTCTGTAAGGGGCGTGCATAAGAGCACCAGCGTGCCTACCGCCCCTGTCCTAATGTTTCCTCTATTCATATCTATTTTATGTATTCAATTCATGCTTATACTTATATATTAGCTAATACATTTTTGACAAATAAAAATAAATTTAAAAAATTGACAGCATAGACCTCTTAGAACAATATTTTTGATTAATAGGTACTCAAGTGGCATTTTGAACTATTTGAAGAGTCTTTTCTGAAGAACTAGGTCTCCCAATTACAGCATATGTTTTTGCAAAGATTGACATTCATGTCTCAGTGTACACTGATATTATAATGAAACTGTGAAAAATACATGTTGTTCCTTTTCTGGATGGTTTTTACAAGACCCTGGCTTCTGCACAATATAAGAAAACAAAAATTAGTTGCATTGTGTTTTTGTTTGGATTCTTATTTGAACACAGTGCAGAAATCACATTTATTGATAAGAAAATAAAACTCTACATCAGAAATGCCTTCAACTGGAACAATAAACAGCTTTTGAAATTAAAAACTGTCTTCTCTTACAAAGGACCCCTGCACTGGAGCAATAAACAGCTACTGGAAGAACACACCAACTCCCTTTTATATTGAGAACTAACATAACAGAGCAGCCATCCGTTTCAGAAAATGAAATAATATTGATCAGAAGCCCTTGAGTTTAAGGTTTCATCTCTGCAACCACTATCAAATTCCACAGCCCACCTTCCTTGTGACCAACACTCCTATAAAACACATCCTCTCGCAAAGGCTTTTTTCAGATCTTGTCCCACCCTTAATACTCCTTTGAAAATCTACCTAGATTACTCAAGAGTAATTATTCTTGAGAATACTTTCAAGAAAATGGTTCTAAGACTCAAGAGTTTTTCCTCCCCTGAAGTATGACTATCTCAGCCAAAACAATTGGTGGATATGCATTCTGCATTCTGCATACCCATATCTACATTGAGAAAAAAGTAGCCACTACACACTCCAGTCTCTGTCTTGGGTTTCCTAGCATTTGATAGGAAATTATTAGAGGTGATCTATATTTATATATGTGTCTTTAAGTCAGTATTGACTCCTGGTGACTATCTGGACACATTCCTGCAGTTTTCTGGCAAAGTTTTTCAGACATTATTAGCCATCACTTTCTTTTTAGGATTGACAGAGAGAGTATGGCTCAAGTAACCCAGCTATCTTTGTGTTTAATGTGGGACTAGAAGCCCCCGTTTTTAGCCTGGTGCTTTATCCACTATACCAAACTGGCTCTCACTTAGAGGGATTTTGCCGGTTTTAAATTAGTAGGAAAATGCACAGCTTGTATCATCATATCAATAGTAATATTTATTAATAGTACTTCCTAATTCATGTTCAGAGTTCTTAGTTTGTGGCTGGTATTTGTGAAAGATAGACAAATTGATTAGTCCTTTGACTACATACCTTTCAGCAACCAGAACTGCAATTAGGGATACCAGGTTTATAGCTGTACTCAAAACCACTCCCAACCTGGCACCCTACTGATGTGTTAGAATTACTTTGCTTAGAAGCAAAGCATGATTTATGGGAACTGCTGGCTTGGAATCTGGAAACTAAAGCCTCAACACATCTGGAGGGCAGCTGGTTGGAGAAAGTTACTGTATTATACCATAAATTGAGATACAGATATTTGCAAGTTATTTGTATTAAAATAATAATACTTCTCTCTCTGTCTTGACCATCTTTTTTTAAGAAACGAATACACACGACTCTCTTCCTTTACTTTATGCTTTATGTTTCATTCATATCAAAGTTTCATTCAACTTTCAAAGAATAAACCTAGAAATAAGGAGAAATTTTCTGACAGTGAGAACAACCAACCAATGGAACAGCTTGCCTTCAAAAGTTGGGGTGCTTGATCGCTGGAGGCTTTCAAGAAGAGATTGGACTCTCAGAAATGGTGTAGGATCTTCTGGTGTAGGGTCTTCTGCATGGGCAGTAGAGTTGAACTAAATAACCTAGATTAGTCTAACTCTGTTATTCTCAACTGAAGGCTGAGTAGAAACATAAATGTAGACTCTGCCAGCATCCTGAGTTTTGAACTCTTTAATTATTTGCTATTCTTATAAAGAAAAACCTTTATCCTCCATACCTCTTTACTGCTTTCTTTGTTAAACTACTAATGAGAAAACAATTTTTTGAGCTGTAATTTACTTCATTTTAAGGGATGCAGCTCCTGAAAAAACATAGCTATTTAGTCAGATGCAGAAACATCTATCTTCTTCTTGTTGTGCCATATCTGTCATTAGACATCGGTGATCATGTTGGTGATCCTATTGTATAGAAACATCTACACATCTTTCCTATTTCTTCAGTCTGATTCCTTCCAGCTGAGCTGGATCGCAATCTCAACCATTGTAGTACTCCCTAAACTTCTAAAGCAGGGGTGTCCAATCTTAGTAACTTTAAACCTTGTGGACTTGAACTCCCAGAATTCTGCAGCCAGCATAGTTGACTGGGGAATTCTGGGAGTTGAAGTCCATAGGTCTTAAAATTGCCAAGATTGGACACCCCTGTTCTAAAGCAAGTATATCCAACCTTGGCCACTTTAAGACCCGTGGACTTCAACTCCCAGAATTCCCCAGCCAGCCAGTTTCCCAACTTTTGAGAAATTCTGTATTCTTAGCTGCCATCTAGTGATCCTCTGGATATATGGCACACATTGTTGCGACCAGGTCCTGAAAACAGTTCCACGCCTGCTGGAAATCAACTCCCGCTGAGCCGGAAAAAGGAGCAAGTGCTCGATTTTTCAAAAAAAGGCAAACCTTGAGAGTTAAAAAAAATAATAAAAAAATAAACACACACACACAAAACCCGCGGTCAGACCCAGCCTGCCTGCCACCTCCCCCCCCCACCCCTTCGGTCTCCTAGAATGGAACCTTCCGAGATGGAACGCTCCTGGCGCCTCCCACCCCCTTCGCTTTTTGAAGATGGAAGAGGCCCAAGCGACCGGTTGCCGTGGGAACGGCTAACTTGTTTCGGCGGGAGCGCGGCTTCGGGAGGCAGAAGAAAGGCGGCCGGGGGAAATCCTGGAGTGGGCTGCGCCCTTCTCTGGCCGCCAGGTTCTCGCAGTCCTCGGGATAATTGAGCCGGTGGGGGAAGAGGAAGAGTAGCAGCAGCTGCTGCTCAGGGACCGGTGGGGAAGGGGTTAAATTTAAAGGGGTCTTAGGTAGAGCAATAAGACACCCCCCCCTTTACCTGTCTGTGCTCACCTGCACAGACTGGTTCCTGGATCTGTAATAAAACTTCAACGTGGGGTTTTGATGACTAAACTAGGATCGGGTCCTGGATTATTTGCAGTGCATTTACAGGGTGCATAATACTTTTTTTGGGGGGGGGGGTTCCCAATATCCTCGGTCCTTTTGTATGCAGGGGCTTCCAATGATGCACAAATCCAGAGGTTGAGATTTTCCGTCTCACTTTTTTTTATATCTCTGCATTATTTCCCCCCCCTTTTTTTTAAAAAAAAAAGCAGCTTTCCCTGTTGAATGCATGCCTGTCAGGAAGTCCTCAAGATGCCACCCAGTGCTAGATTTGGTGGTAAAAGGCTTTTCTTGTTTTGAATTAAATTGCTAGGGGACAGCAGGGAGTTCTAGTTTTGGGGAGACTGAGCCAGGGCTGGGTTGCAATTGCCTTTTAAAAAAGTTTTTTTTTTTTCTACTTTGGCATAAAAGTCCTGGAATATCTCAGTGGCTTCCTAATCCCATTGCTAACTAGATATAACTGGTGGAAACAGCCAAGCTTTCCCTGTTGAACTGAGGACTGGATTGCAATTGCCTTTATAAAAAGTTTTTTTTTTTTTCTACTTTGGCATAAAAGTTCTAGAATATCTGAGTGGCCTTCTAATCCCATTGCTAACTAGATATAACTGGTGGAACACAGCCAAGCTTTCCCTGTTGAATGCATGCCTGTCAGGAAGTCTTCAAAATGCCACCCAGCGCTAGATTTGGTGGTAAAAGACTTGCTGGTTTTGAATTAAATTGCTAGGGACAGCTAGTTTTGGGGAGACTGAGGCAGGACTGGGTTGCAATTGCCTTTATAAAAAGTTTTTTTTTTCTACTTTGGCATAAAAGTCCTGGAACTTCTGAGTGGCCTCCTAATCCTATTGCTAACTAGATATAACTGGTGGAACACAGCCAAGTTTGTTTAGGTTTTAGTATTTGTTGGATGGATTTGGGAGTAAAGTATTTTTTTAATACCTTGACTAGAAATGTGCTGTTGGGGTCATATTTTGCAAATTGAAAAGTAGATAAGAAATGGCTTTTCAGAGCAGGATTCACACAATACACTTCTCTTGCTTAATTAAGAACGACGTACTCAGTCTAATTTTGTTTGAATAATAGATTAACCCTAAACAAGCTGAGCTAAGATATGGTTAATTGTCTCAATTAAATATGAACCATGTATGGGAATCTATCCCAATATCACCTAAGCAGAGAATTTTTCTAATCTGTTTGCTGATCCTTTTATGGTGAAAATATTAGGAGCTGAGCTGCTGATCTTCCAGTTGCAAAGGATACATTTTCTTTCTTCATTTCCCCCTTTACTGAAAAATCCTGTTCAATAAGAAATCCAAAATAATGTCAGTAAGTTTGTATTGATATGGTTAAATCTGTGCCCTATTCATGTGTGAAGTAATATCTAGCAAATAGAATGCTTCATCTTTATAGAATGACTCTGTGATAAAACACCAGTGTGAAAAATTGACTCCAGGCAATATTTCTGGTCTGAGTAATTTCTAGCTACTTTAATGAGTGCTTGGTGCACTGAGGCTGAATATTGTAAACCTCTCCTTGGGAAAAAACAAATATACTCATTCAACTATGTTTGGAGCATAATATATTTACATAAACTTATTCGTAGACTAAATATAAACGTTGTGTTAGGTCAAGTCATCTGTGTTTATCCTGTTGCCTTCCATATGTTTTCAAATTCACCTGTCAAAAGGTCTGGTTTGTACCACCCAGAAAGTAGTAACATGTTTAAACTTACTTTGGGACAATTATATTAGTATTAGGGCTATACTAATTGTATTAGTATTAGGGCTATTTTAGTATTAAGACAATTACATTAGTATTAGGGCTGTAAGTCTACTGGATTTGTGTTAAGAACTCCCTACCAATGGAATGGAATCATAGGGCTGGAAGAAGGTGTGGATTTATTCTTTAAAATGCTTGAGGGCAGGAAAAGGGACTAGTGTGTGGAAGCTTTATAGAGGGAAACCCAAACTTGAGATAATGAAGAATAGAAACCTACAAATAATGCTAAACATAAAAAACCCTGACTCCTTAATTTTACAACAGAACTTAATGAAACATAATCCAAAATTCTAACTTTTCCCAAAATGCCAAGATGAATACTTAATTCAAGCCTTCACCTCTAGCCAGTGCCAACATCAATGTAGATTTTAACACTGCAACATATAAAATTCAGTGCAATGTTCTCATACTAATTTTATTAGAAACCCCAGAGAAGCCTCTTGTACTGATTTTTCTACAATTGCAATACAAATGTCTTCACACTCAATTTCAGACTAATGTAAAACATACTATTAATTATGAAAATTTACCATAATGCTTGTTCTCAGAGTAATTTTTACAGAAAACCTCAAATATTGATGGCAATACTTAGTGTGTGGATTAGAATCATGGTCAGATTTTAGGTACGGTGATTGTTTCAACTATATTTTAGGGTTAAAATAGAGTCTATTGAAGCCCACTGTGAATTTATCAGAGGGTTGGCCAAGTTGGTATTCACTCACTGCACTATTGAGTTTCAACCTTAATCTGCACCCATGATTACTACAAAACATTTTACATTCCTCCTGAATTCAACCCACAGGGGAAAGTTTTACCATAAACAACACAAAACCTTAGCTCGAAGTTTCCCAAAAGTCCAATACAAATGCTAACAGTAAAGAGTCATTTCAAACTTGAATTCCAGATGAAATCTAAGCCAAGATTGCTATTAAACGTAAGAACTCTCATTGATTCTAACCCATAAGCATAGTATTTCTATTGAATGTAAGGATCTGGCTTTTAACTTCCAAGTTGCTAATATAATTATAGTGACCATCATGATGCATTCCTTCTGAACACAAATAGATGGTTACATCATTCTGTAAACATCAACAATCTGCTGTTTTCTAACACATTGCTTGCATCTAGATTTTGTTATGCTTAAAATAAGCTACCGGTACTTGAAATTAAAAGAAGTTACCCAAGATCTACTTAAACCTCACTGATTTAAGTATTTGGAAGCTAAACCCAAGCCTTTATTTCCAAGCCTTTTACACATAACAATATCCTTGTGTAAAGGTTATTATTCAGTATTGTTAGATCTAGTGTCAAATTAATTAATTGGTGAAACTTAACAGTACCTTTAGCTGTCCTTCTTCAGTACTTATTTTCTCTTCTTCCATTTATAAATATAGATGGAATTGTTAAAGAAACTGTTTTAATATAAGTTTTTTTCTCTTGTAAACAGATTTCAAAACTGTATGATTTGAACACGTCTTTAAGCTTTTCTGAATTTGCAATCATGAACATCAATGATTTTGTGATACTCCCTGGTTCAAAAACTGGAGTTTCTGTAAAACTGAAGGAAAAGTAAGTTTCTTTCTCTAATTGACTTTGAAGTGCTTGGATAATTCCCTTTTTATATGCATCATTAAATGCAAACTCTTTCTAACCACTAAAGCTGCAATCCTATCACTTACTTGAAGTTAATTTTATTGAAACAAATGAGAGCTGCCACCATGTAAATGTGTTCAGAATTGGGAGCGCTGTTCACATTTATAACAGTGCTTTCTGATGTCCTTTTTCTGTTTTCTGTTTCTTTTCTTTTCTTTTTCTTTGTCCTGAATTGGTGGCCTATTCTTAAATAATTCCTTTATCTGCAGTGGCACAAACAGAATATCCCTTTTTTTTAAATTAAAAAGCCAAGCTGTAAATGTATAGTCCAGTTTCAAAAACTGCAATTTTTTGCTGCATTGCATATACTTTAAATAGAGAAAGAAAGTACAGTTTGGTGCCAGTTTTAGAGCTGAATTTAATCTGTCTAGAAGTGTACGGGAGCTGCAATTGGAAAAAGTTCAGCTGGAACTTGAAAATAAGGAAATGGAGAAGAAACTGAAGCAACTACAATCAAATATGAGCCGAGAGAAACAAGACAGAGGGTAGGTAGAACTTTAATGGCTCTAGTTATTATTTGAAGAGTAGAAGAGCAAACCTTTGGAGGTTACCCAACCATGGAAAAGTAGTATTCTTTCAGAGTTCAGTGTACTATTTGTTTATATAGTTTTATATATAGATTTATGTATATATTTATTTATTTTATTAATCATATTTCTATGCTGCCCACTCTCCGAGGACTCTGGGCGGCTTACAACAGTCAACAGTATTCTAAATATTTATTTATTTTATTTATTTATTTATTGAATTTCTATACCGCCCTAGCATATTGCCCCCAACAATCTGGGTCCTCATTTTACCCACCTCGAAAGGATGGAAGGCTGAGTCAACCTTGAGCCGGTGAGATTTGATCTGCTGATCTGCTGAACTAGCAGTCAGCTGAAGTAGCTACAGTACAGCACTCTAACCACTGCGCCACCTGGCTCTTAAATATAAACACACACACACAACATATAAACGCATAAAGTATATCTCTACTGTATATCATATCATATCTCTACTGAGCATGTTTTCTCAATATTCAAGCATCTTTTCTCATATTCTCTAGCATACTTTCTCAAGATACATATATAGTCAACATATAGTACTTCTTGGAGTATAAGACACACTCCCCCCTCCCCAAAAGATGGTGGAAATGTTGGTGCATCTTATGCACTGAATACAGCCATTTTTGGCCTCCCGAAACCCTGCACATCCCATTTTTGCCAAAAACAGGCCCGTTTTTTTTGCAAAAATGGGGCCTGCAAAGTGTTTGGGAGGCCTGCAGAGTGCTCCTGGGGGCTGGGGAGGCCAAAAACACGATGTGTGAGGGGGTTTGGGAGACCAAAAACGGGCCCATTTTTTGTGAAAATGGGCCCGTTTTTTGCAAACATGGGGGCGTTTTGCCGTCCCCAGCACTCTTCAGGCACTGTTTTTGCGAAAAACGGGCCCATTTTTCACAAAAATGGGACTGCATACGGTTTGGGAGGCCTGCAGAGTGCTCCTGGGGGTCAGGGAGAGTAAAAACTTTTTTTTTCTTGTTTACCTCTTCAAAATCTTGTTGCGTTTTATACTCTGGTGCGTTTTATAGTCCGAAAAATACAGTACTTAAAATAATGCACATATACTGTCCCTCCCTCCCATATTGCTAAGAGCAATATGCTGTAAATATAGACAGAAAAATACCATCACTGTCATACTGAAACTTGCATTTAAAAAAAACAAATGAAAGATACGGTGGTACATATGGGGATTTATGACGGTGCTCGGAGTTTTACCGATTACAATGTCCCTGTGATCATGTGATTGTAATCTCGGTATTTAGCAGCTGGCCTGTGATTATGTTGTTTCAGTGAACTGCAATCATAGGATTGTGATTTCTGATGTTCTGTTCTGGCTTTGGGACTAGAGACCTGAAAGGAACCATATTATGGCTTCTATTATCTGCTGTAAGAGTTCTTATCTGTTAGCCAGAGGGGCAGAAGTTATGTATGATAAATTGCCACTACAGGAAGGGAATATCAGCCTTTTCTTTTATTTGTGACAAATTGTCTGAAGTGGGTCTAAAGATACAGGGAATTAATAAATGATATGCATGAACAGGAATATAAACAGATAGAAAATTCTGAGAAGACACTTTTGGCTTAAAAGCAAGAGGGGTTTGAATATTTTAAGGCTGGCAACACAAGGAAATCTCATCTTATTAGACTTGATATAATGGACTTTGAGTGCAAAGGACCACATTTCTTCAGTGATTTATGTAATTTGTAATAATATCATTACACAAATGAGACAAATTATGCTGTTTCATGTCAAGTGACAGGAACGACACACAATTTGTATCACTTTCATGTTGATGTTGTTTTGCAAATAATGACAGAAATTGAAGCCGAGTTATGTAATTTACATTTGCATAATGTCTTTTGTGTCATTTGCTTAATGATGTTTCACCAGTGATGTCAATTAATACAAATGATGTGAATCGCTGCAGTTTTGTACTTGTGAATTTATTGAATATTTGCAAATAACAGACAACTTTCTTACCATTAGTCTGTTAAAGTGAAATTTTGCTGTATTGTAGCAAATTTCGCATTACATTAAAATTGAGTTTAATGATTTATGAAGTACCTGCCAGTTTTTTAAATTAACCATAAAATAGCACAAAGTAAGAATGAAACTGTTTAAAATGACTAGTTGTAAGAAATTTTCCTCCAGTGAGAATAATAAAAGTTTGTAGTGTTATATTTGTGCGCACCTTCTTTCAGAATAATCTTCACATTCCATAATTAAGTTCATAGCAATAGCTCTGTCTAACCACAGTTGGATAATGGCTCTAAGATTGTATATTTTCATTCTGTGTCAACTCTGTATTGTTTTTCTGTCCCCAATTAGTAGAAAGCTGCATGTATAAGCCACTTGTCTTTCCCCTCCCTTATCCCACTTTACCACCCCACCCCAATTCAGCTATGTTGATAGAAACTGTAAGTGTCGTGCCTCTCAATCCAAGCTAGAAAAGTTATTTTTAATAGAAAACTACTGTATCTGGATTTTATCCCAGCAACTTCAGCAGAAGCTTTGATCCATTTCTGGCTTGGTATATACTGTATCTTTGCACTAGGCCAAAATATTTGAAAAGGTTAAATTATGGGAACTGGACCAAAGTTAATTACTCATCCAAGTAACTTCTTCAGTCAAAATGAAAAAATTAAAGTTAGGCAGAGAATCGTTGGAATGTACCAATTCTTGCCATATCAACTGCAGGGGTTTCTCCCCAAAATGTATTGCAAATGTAAATGAAGACTCAATCATCCAGGCCAAAAGCATCTAAAAATGGTTAAATCATGCCAACTGGACCAAAGTTTAAGAAATGTCTCAGTTTAATAAACTTTGGTCTAGTTGCCATGATTTAAACTTTTTAGATGCTTTTGGACTGGATGATTGAATCTTTATTTACATTTACACATACACTCTAGACCAAAACTTTCTCTGTAGTATTGGAGTCTTTTTTGTTTGTTTGCTGGTTTGTTTTGTTTTGTTTTCTTCCATTGGGCTTTTGTTATCAGAATTCAATTTCAAGTGCTGTCAGGTCCTCAACTTCACTTTTCCATTCTTTGAGAGGGCTTTATTATTTATAAAGTTCTTATATTTTACTAGAAATTCAGTCCTTATGAGCTTTAAGTGCAAATGGCTGCATTATAAAAAAACACCATTTGTAATCATTCTTTTGAGAAAATCATTTGAGAGAATCCATTTCAGATGTTGAAATATTCTGCAGACAAAGCACAACCCTTTTATCTGTAACTTTTTTGGGGTATAAATTTGAAAACTACTTTATTAACCTCTTTGTATTTGTTTCCCTTTCTCAGCGATGTGACTAATAATGCTAACTTTCTTTCCCAGGGTCAGCTTTTTAAGGATATGTGGTCATTAGTGTTCCAGTGTACTTAACAAGATATATAGTTCTGTTTAAGTTTTAAGTGTTACTAATGATCTTGGACCATAGTCATTAATTTTTGTATCTTTTCCCCACAGTCTTTAATACCACATTCTACTTTCAAACAAGTTTGTGATCTCTCCCTCCCTCCCTTTCTTTCTTTTACAGTAAATGATGGCTCTTCAATTTGTCGGTTTATAATGATTGGTTTTGCTGCTTGCTTGCAAAACAGTGAAGTAGCACTAGAACTGGAAGCAGTTATTATTTATTTTGGTCATTTTGCCACTACTTGTCTGAAAGTCCCTGGTGGATGATACTATGGGTTTGGTCTATTTAACCTGTAACATTTGGTCGGTAACATTTGGCTGTCTTTTTTTTTTTTTTTAAGAAACTGCAAGTAAGAAATATCAAATATTTGTTCCAGAAAAGAAGCCTAAACTAAGCCTTTACATTAGGTTCAAAGTGTTGTAGCTGTTCTTCTTTAATCCTGGGTTACAAAACAAGCAAGAGCTAAATGGCCTATTGGCCATTATTTTTACTTATACTAAACATGATGGAAGCAGAGGGCAGGCCCTATTCCTTCTGATTCCCAAACAGTGAGAAGAGGAAAAGTAACAAAATAGGCAGTTAGAGATATTCTTGTTCTAGAACATAGAATACAAAATCATGGGATTGGAAGGAATCTCAAAGGTGTTCTAATCCAACCTTATGCTCAATGCAGGAGAATTTATAATATCCCAATTAAATAGTTGTCCAGTCTGTTTTTGAAAACCTCCAGTCATGGAGCACCCACAACTCCAGGTGACAAGCTATTCCATTGATTAATTGTTCTTACTGTCAGAAAATTTATCCTTACTTCTAGGTTGGATCTGTCTTTAACAAGCTTCCACCCATTATTTCTTGTCCTGAAAATAATCTGGTGCTTCGAAAATAATCCTCTCTTCTCTGTAACAATCCCTCAGTACTAGAAGTTATCATGTCCTAATCCTTCTCTTCAACAGGCTAGACATACCTGTTTCCCTCAACTGTTCATCATATGATTTAGCTTCCAGACTGTTTATCATCTTTGTTGCTCTATTCTGCACACTTCCTAGCATTTGTGTCCATGAGTACTGTAAATGCTCAGAGTTTCCAGATGTTCTAAAAGATGTTTCAGAGTATAGTGGCGTGCACTTGTTTGCAGCATCTTAAAAGAGCCATGACTTTTTGTGGTAGGGATTAGGGGACTGGAGGCTAAAACATGAGGAACAATTGCAGGAATTGGATATGTCTAGTTTAATAAAATGAAGGGCTAGGGCTGATACGATAGCAGTGTTCCAATATCGAAAGGTCTGTCACAAAGGAGAGAAGGGTCAGCCTATTTTCCAGTGCTCATGAAAACAGAACAAGAAGCAATGAAGGGAAACTAATCAAGAAGAGAATCAACATAGAAAAAAGGAGAAATTTCCTAACAGGTAGAACAATTAATCAGTGGAACATCTTGCCTTCAGAAGTTCTGGGTGCTCCATCACTAGAGCTTTTTAAGAAGAGATTAGCCATTTGTCTGAAACTGTATTATATCTCCTGCTTAAGTAGGGGGCTGGATTAGAAGACCTCCAAGGTCCCTTCTAACTATTATTCTGATATATTTCTGGGTTTGCAGAGATGCCCCTGGCAGTTGCCTCTAATTCTTGGGAAAAACATTGTATTTAATGTGTTGCAAACAGGTGTTATATCCATGGTCTTGTATGCTCTAAAGCTCCTTTTAGTGAGGGAATTAAAAGTGCTGTACAGTCTTAATAAATGTGTCAAAATTACCAAATTTTCATGTGCTTATGAGAGTTCTTTAGATGGGATTTTACCTAAATGAAAACATTTGAATTATCCTATCTGCGAGTTGGGCGGAATATAAATTTAATAAATAAATTTGTATGTTTGTGTAGCCTTTCAGTAAGTGGAAAATGGAGAACAGAGGCTGCCATATTCTTCATATTTGTTTATGAATGCTCATAAAAAGATTTTTTGATCTCCTTTTAGGCGAACAAATGGGTATCGATGGAAATCAGGTCACACTAGTCTAAATACACAACCACACATTTTACAAGACAAAGAAAATGCTATAAAGGTAAGACAGCTAGGATGTTTAAATAAATTTTATTTAAATGTCTGCAGTAAAGGAAGTCTTTGTAGGATATCACTGTGGTCAAATTTTTGAAAGTGATCAATTGAAACTTTTCTCTGGCTTTTTGATACTACTGTTACAAAGTGGGCCTGAATGGCAGATATTTTTTTTCTCCACATAGAAAGGCTTGTTTTGGATGAATGTGGCATGCCAACTGGTCCTCCAGCTATCTAGGGGGGAATTATCACAAATTCTAAGTCACAGCAGATTTTCATTTGAGGTTTTTTTTAGAAATGGCACCCAGATAGATAATATTGATTCCATTAGTGTATTTATTTTCGTTTAGAAACATAGAAAATGGATGGCAGAAAAAGTCCTAGAGAGTTTGCCAGGTTTTCTGAAAACACACATTCTGGCATAGATAAGATATGTGAGTTTAGCTAGGCAAAGTGATAAAGTGATAAAGAAAATAATTTATTTTAATTTAAAAGATTCCTTTAACAACTATGTCTCCCCACCCCCAAAATTGACATGTTTACAGATTTTTGAAATATTGGTCGAAGTATTAGTAGTGATATGTTTCACAATTTTTGAGAATCTTCCATTTCTGTGTGTGAATTTCATCATTTCACCATCACTGATCATATCCTAAAGGTTGACATTGTTTCTTATCATTCTTGATGTCTTATGGCTTTTTATCATCTGTGGAGATTCTCATGTTTTAGCATAACAGTTCTAAGTTTTAAAGACCACAAGTATCAATTTTTTTTAAAATGAGAATGACTGTCGTTTTAAAAGGAAGAAAAATAAGATAACTATGAAATAAATCAAGTTTAATCAATTGATTGTATTAATTTAATACTCTTGCTTGCAATTCCTTAAGTCAATTTTTCTTGGAAGCACAAGGCAGCCACTAGATCCTGAGAGAATGTGCAGTTGATTTAAGTAGTTTCTAAAAAAAAACCTGCATGAGCATTCCCACATGATCTAAAACTCTTTTTGCCTTCAAATTAGAAGTATGGCACAGCCCTATGAAGAACTGTGTTAGGAAACAAAGGGGAAGTTTGGAGAACAATTGGAGAAATCACAGTTTAATTGTTCCTTCCTTCCTTCCTTCCTTCCTTCCTTCCTTCCTTCCTTCCTTCCTTCCTTCCTTCCTTTTTTTTAACCAGGTTCCTTCAGCCAAAGTAAAATTGAGGCTACTTAAAGAACATATTCCAGGTAACAAGGTATTAGCAATGTTGAGATTTGAAAATAATGCAATAATTCAAATGTGGTTGCAAGTAGGGCTATTTCTTCCGCCTTTTGGAGAATCTTACAGAAGCTGCTTTAAGTAGGTTAAGAGTTAACTGGTAATTAACTGGTAACTGGCTTTACCAGATTAATTTTCAGAGTGAGAAAAATAAATCACCCAACAGAATCAATCCACCACAATGGTTTCCAAACCGTATTCTATGAATCACTGATAATCCATGAGAACAGTGCAGGTTGTAGTCCTGCAAATAGAAGTACAATGACTGTGGCAAAAGAAAGCAAATATAGTACCGATAGTAATAGGCACCTTGGGTGCAATCTCAAAACAACTGGAACACCACCTAAACAGTGTTGGCATTGATAAAATCTCCATCAGTGAATTTACTTGGAATAATTTATATCCTGTGACAATATCTTTAATAACATCAAACAACATCTGCCTATCTCAATTCCTTGAGAAGGATGTGATAGGTGGATAAAAGTGCCAGTCTAAACATCTGCCTGACTATGTGATCAGTCAATATAACAACAGATTTATTTAAAAAAATATGTTTTAATGTCCTTACTCAAAATCTCATGAGATTTCAGGTAATAACATTAAAACATCTTGTGAGAATTGATAACTTAGCAAGGTTCTATCAGTTTAATTACACAATAAATTTTGAGGATGCAAAACACTACAGATGGTCCTCCACTTAGGTACACAATTGAGCCTCGAATTTTGGTCATTGAGCACAGTGGTCATTAAGAAAGATGCCATGTGATCACTTCATTCAGTGATGAATGAACACTTCACCACAATCCCAATTCTCCCAGGTTGCACTCTTTAAGCAATGTTGTGAGTTGTTAATCAGAGAGCTGGGGAGAGGGCCCATCCTTCCCTGATAAAGCTGGGCCAGGGAAAATGACTGCAAGAACAATTGGCTTGCTAGAGTTTTTGGCAGTTTTAAGGTCTGTTTCATTAGTTCCTCTCTGGAGCAGAAATCCCTTGGTGTGCTAGAGAACCAGACCTCAAATCTGGTGAAAATGCTAGCAAACATTATCATTCTGGAAAGCTGAGAATGCTGGTATTTGCTAGTGTTTTCTGTTCTTAAAGGAAAGGCTCTGAATGATGGTGTTCACTAGTATTTTCCCTTATGGAAGGGTAGAAACAGTAGCACCTGTTAAACTCTAGCAAATAGCAGCATTCTGAAAAGCTCTAAATGGTGGCATTCACTGGGATTTCACCACATTTTAATAGAATAGAATAGAATAGAATAGAATAGAATAGAATAGAATAGAATAGAATAGAATAGAATAGAATAGAATTTTTTATTGGCCAAGTGTGATTGTATACACAAGGAATTTGTCTTGGTGTATACGCTCTCGGAATACATAAAAGAAAAGATATATTTGTCAAGAATCATAAGGTACAACACTTAATGATAGTCATAGGGAAACAGTCAATATAAATCTTAAGGATACCAGCAACAAGGTTACAGTCATACAGTCATAAGTGGGAGAAGATGGGTGATAGGAACGATGAGAAGATTAATAGTAATGCAGACTTAGTAACTAGTTTGACAGTGTTGAGGGAATTATTTGTTTAGCAAATTTATTTATTTATTGGTTCGATTTATATGCCGCCCTTTTCTGGAGACTCAGGGCGGCTTATAATGCGTTAAGCAATAGCCTTCATACTTTTGTATATACCTGCTTAGTAGGGCTTTTGCCCCCCCCCCCCCCCCCCACACACACAAGCGGTGTTCTTTTTTATACAAAGTCAGCTTATTGCCCCCACAAACCGGGTCCTCATTTTACCTACCTCGAAAGGATGGAAGGCTAAGTCAACCTTGAGCCTGGTGAGATTTGAACTTGCAATAATTGCAGGCAGCTGGTGTTACTTAACAGTGCTTTAGTCTGCTGCGCCACCAAGTCTCTTAAAATTATTTGTTTTAAGCTTGTTTTTCCACTGTGGGAGGATTTCTCCTTTCTTCAGGAGGAGGAAAAGTCCCTCAGCATGATAGGGGAATGGACCTCTCATCCAATATGCCTGTCAGTTTCCCCACTGACTTTCTGGGGAAGGCAATAGAAAAGATTGTAAACGGCAATCACATGATTGCAAGGCAGTTGGCAACTGGTTGTAAATGCAAACAGATTGTCATGCACCTGAAATGCAAGCATATGATGGGGGTGATGGTGCAACATGTTTATAATGGCTGGCAGTAATTTACAGGCCATAAAACAGCCCGTCCGAGGCCATCTGTGAATATTCATTAAATAACTGGGTGTAACTCAAAGGCTACTTGTATCTAATGTTGGAGTTCTGCTATTATGGGGGAGTGACCCTATGCATAGATCTAGCATACTGCCAACTTTGGTGTATGTTGCGATCCACAGATGCTTTCAGTGGATAATGTAAAGATCTGCATAAAGGAGAACTTGGAATCCATTGACCAAACAAGTTGCAATAGCAATAGCAATAGCACTTAGACTTATATACCGCTTTACAGTGCTTTACAGTCCTCTCTTAAGCAGTTTACAGAGTCAGCATATTGCCCCCAACAATTTGGGTCCTCATTTTACCCACCTCGGAAGGATGGAAGGCTGAGTCAACTTTGAGCCTGGTGAGATTTGAACTGCCAAATTGCAGTCAGCAGGCAGTCAGCAGAAGTAGCCTGCAGTACTGCACTCTAACCACTGCACTGCCACGGCTCATATGTCTTGAGAAATAGTCTGAAAATATTTATTATAATATATCAAGATTAGAACTTCAGTTACTTTGATGTGATAGTTATTTATTACTGTGACATGTATGCTACTTAATTCTAAATAATATTGATCAGCTTATGTCAAAAACAAAAACCAAGAACAAATTAATGATAGTAAACAACTGCAGCACCACCAGGGGGAGATAAGTTAGCCCTCTTTACTGCCAAGTTACTTATTAGTGCCGTTCATTTATCTATGCTTCTTACTTGCTTGCTTTAAAAACACATTTACATTTTGCAGCTTCAGATGCAGCCAAACAGCCATTTCTACATAAAACAGCAAATGATGCAGCCACTGAAAGGCCTAAAGTGAAGGGCAAGGCATGTGGTCAATGCGAGATGAAGATTGCATTGCTAGTAAGTAGGTGGGAACACTATTTGACAGACTCTGGACAATAAATATACATATCAAAAAAAGTAAGATATATCAAGTTTATTTTGTATTTGATAAAAATCCTGCTCTTATTATTATCTTATAATGGCATACGTTAACAAAACAAACTTACAAGCTAAAAATTCTCTTTAGTAAAATGCTTATGAAATTAATATAAGCTTTTGCCATCCTGAAAAACTTTTTACCTTAAAAAAAAAGTGCTCTGATCTAGTATAGTAATTTTTCTTAAATTACTTTGAGAAAGACTCCTCCAGCCTCCTTCTCACTTCAAATAGGTCAGTGGCTTCACAAGTACCCTAGCACCTTGGGGTTTTTTACTGATATTTCTTTGGAGCTGTTTTCTTATTTAGTTGTAGGGAGCTATAAGTACAATTAGGTAAACTGAAAAGTATTTCAGGATCACAAAGGTATGCATTGAATGTATTTGTATCTTAATTTCCTTTTTCTCTCTCCACAAGGTGTGTTTAGAATGTGGAGAAGATTATTGTCCTAGTTGCTTTGCCAGAATACACCAGAAGGGAGCACTGAAACTCCACAGAACAACTTATTTGCAGGTATATTTCTTTGCAAAGCCTTGTGTAATCATTGCAACCTCTTCTTAGAAGGCATATTACCACTAAATACATGCACAAACAACCACCAAGACAAATTCAGGAGCACTTTTATCTTTGATATGTAGAAATCCTTTTGGCAGGTTGATGTTCTTATTCTCCATTTACTCCTACCAAGTAAGAGTACTCATTTAGGGCTTAGAAACAGCCCTAAATGAGTAAGAAACCCAGAAAATACATACTTGAAACTCTGTGCAGAGAATTGTGCTTAAAGTCCATAACTCTGTTCAGATAATGCAAATAATTATCATTATCTGCTGATAGCTTGTAATGGCTATGGCATTTTTACAGGATGAGTGCATTTATGCAGTAATCTGGTCACATGAACACTTTGGCACAGCAAGCAGCCTTCCTGATTGAAAGCAATAGAATATACTCTCATTAGGAACATATCACTTTATATATAAAAGAGGTAGAGATCACACCCATTTTTGTATCTTTTCTTGTCTAACAAAACCATTCATTTTGTGTAACTGAACATCTTTTACTATTCAGTTGGTTCCATCTGGCCTTGCCTTTCAGAGAAAGCACCCTTGATTTTTAATCTCTACAGAGTTTTCCTGCACCATATTTTATGCCTCTATTCCCTGCTGCCATAACGGCATGGGAAAATTGCTTCCCCCACAAGGCATAGTGCCATTTGGAACATAGAGCTATGGAAAGAAAGCCAGTTATTTGGGTCCTTTTCACTTAATTATCTCCACCATTCATCCTAGTGGAATGGTTAACTGCTTGGAAGCACATACATTTTATCCATTTGCATATGATTCCAAATATTATCATATCTAAGTAGTTTTTAGTATGGTTGATTTAATACATCTAATGATGTAATGTAAAGTGAGTGGAGATACATTTTGTGTATTAATCAAAACTAGTCACTTAAAAGTGGCCCGTCAGAAGTCCTGCTGTGTTGACTCATCATGACTGCAGTGGGCAGGGCTGTTCTTGGGAGGGATGAGCAAAGAACATTGGAGAGAATGCTAAAAATGTAATTTCCCAGCAAGAATACTCAGGGTACAAATTGCCCAACTAAAGCATGGATATATTGGGCAGCGGCGCTATAGGAAGATGCCAGAGGCAGATGATCACATTAGTGATAAAGTTATCAGTTCATACTTCATAGGAGTAGGCAATGTCAAACCATTCCTATATTTTTACAAAGAAAATCACATAAATAGAAAATATAAAAAGGCTTCCAATAATGATGCGTTCAGGCTGTTTAGCACTTATCATGCTTTTGAAGAAGAGCTGAGGATAATGGTGTTTAAGATGTGGCTAGATTAAAGCCTTTGGAATGTCTGATTCCATACAGGAAAAGAAAATTCTAAGTTGCAAATGGGAATGGAATGTAAGAAGCATAAGCACAGGAAAGTTTAGCACAATGAAAGATGAAATGAAATGGCCACAAATTGACATCTTAGGCATCATCAAATTGAGAAAGACTGGGATTTAACATTTAGTCAGAAGATTGGTTCACTTGTTACTCAGGACATGAAAAACAAGCAATAGTATTGCTTTTATAACTAGAATCGATATAGCTACAACAGTTCTTAGATACAATGCATCCAATGACTCAATAATATCAGACTTCATGGACAACTTTTTAATATAACAATCCTTCAAGTTTATGTTGCATCCACATTGCATAGTGTGGAAGAAGAGGAGGTTGATGACTGTTATGATTATATTCAATTTGAAATTGACAGAAAATGCAAGCAAGATGTTCTGCTTGTGATTCAAGATTGAAATGCCGAAGTTGGAAACATTAAAGAGGAAAAGCTTAGAAAACCAAAATGAAGCAGGAGATCAACTTGTCAATTCTCCCATTCCAATAGTTTCTTCATAGCTAATACTGTCTTCAAACAACTAAAATGATGCCCTATGCATGTTGTCAGATGGAATATATAGAAATCAAATTGACTATATTCTTGCTAAAAGAAGATGAAAGACCTCAATTATAGCATCAAAGACATGACCAAGTGCCAGCTGGAACAGATCATGAACTTTTCATGTGCAAGTTCTGAGTTAAGTTAAAGAAGAAGAAAGCCAACCAGCCTCCACAGCATTATCTTGAGCATATACCCATCATTTTCAAAGACAACATCAGAAATTACTTTGAAGTCCTGAAAAAGAAGAACTGTGGACTCAACTAAAAACAAATTGGCTGAGAAGAATGTGAAAAGACACTGCCAGACATAAGGTAGAAAGAAAGAGGAGATGACGACACCCAGCAGAAAGGTTGATGGACTCAGTGGTTGCACTATTGGATGATCTGAAAGACCAGATTAGGGATAGATCATTATGGAAAAAAATCTACATATGAGGTCACTGAGAGTTGACACAATTGATGCCACATGATAAATTAATCAAAATGATTGGTGATAGTTTCTGGACAAATAGAAAGAAGATGCCTCTTCCCATAATTTATGGTTGACTTATGTATTTTATAGAATTGGCCCGATTTTGTAAAATTGGATTATTAGGGAAGACATTTGAAATAAGAAAATAAAGTGGGCCTGTCTTAATTTACCTATAACTGGTCAAATATGGAGCGTTATTTTGGAGTTAGAATAGGGCCAATACTACAAAATTCAATAAAATTGAAACAGATTGAATCATCCTACTTCTAATGAAAATGTTTTGGAAGCTAGAACACCATGAATTGGGGATTAGTTTCCTGTAAGAAAGAGTTAATGTTTATGGATAAACAAGGAAAGAATGAAAAAGGTGAGGCTATAATTGTGTGCTTAGAGCAAGCAATTAATGTGGCTTCATTCATACATATTGCTAAAGCAGAATTTTTCAAAAAACATGAACAGAACCTACCGGCTTGGTTTATCAGTCATACAAAGGCATGTAAGATTTATAAAAGGCACTAACTTAAAAGCAAGCCACATTATGGCTTAATATTATATCTCAAAACTCGCTGTGCTTTCATAATGAAAAAAAAGTATACATCAGAATAAAAGTAATATTTTTGGAATCGGTATACTTGAATGGTTGTTTTTGTTATAATAATTTATTTCTTTCCTTTTTGCCCATAGAGTGCTGAAGTTAGGAACTCAAATCCTTTTTCATAGACTTCTTTCTTTTGCTATCTGCCAACTGGCAGCTTTAAACATGCTTTGTTCCCAAACGAAATACGTTTTTGTAACTGATCCTTTCTCTTTGACTCACTTCACAATAAAGTTGGCCATTCTTTGATGAAAACTGATGTTCCTGATATTTTTATTTTTACTGTAATAACAGGGACTTGACAAGTTTATCCAGGAGCCACACTTGTATGACTTGGGATTGACATGCAGTCACCTAGTCTTTATTGCCAAAACCAAATACTCAGAGAGCAGTTAAAGGTGCTTCCTTGCATGTAGCAAAAAAAGAGAGCAAATTGTATATACAGAAACAGAATCCAAACACCACCCAGTTGAGAAAGTCCAATGTTGAATATAAGAAGCAGTGCAATTAAACTTGTTGTTTATAATATTAAAACCTTTCATTAACCCTTACAGATGTCTTAGTTAATTTATATATCGTGTTATTTAGTCTCTTGGTTCTAATTGTTAGTAATCTGAAGAATTTATTCAAAACATGGAAGAAAAAATTCTAGTGGTTAAGATATATAATTTGCAAGGGGTATGCTGTAAAAACTTGTTTGTAAAAATGTAGTGTCAATAGAATTGCCTTAAGTATTCTCCAATTTTAGGATAAAACATTAGCAATTTTTATAATTAGATTTCCCCCCTAAAATGTATAATGCTTTAAGATAATTGTGCTTGTGTCACTGGCTGCTTTCTGTGTATTCATGTTTCTGACCTTCTGTTTTATAGAGTATAGGCCGTTTATGCTCCCACTTTCCCTTGCATATTGGTTTCAATTACTTACTTCTTGGTTAAGCAGGGCAAATTGTATTATTTTCTTTAAATAAAAAGCCCAAAACCACAGATTGCCAGATCTGATGCACAACATATGTAGTTCTTTAATACAGGAATGTTTATTTATAATGATGTATTTTGGGGTAAATAGTAACTTGAACCTTTCTGTTTGTTTTGTACAATATTTTTAATTATACTATCTATTTCTATTACAGAGAACAATTTGTGCAATATTAAAATGAATAGTACCTTTTAATTCTTAATATTTAAATTACTTGCTTTTTATTGATAGATTTGTATTTTTCTTTGCTTAATCTTAGTTAAGAATTTGCTATATGTTGTGAATTTAGGCAGCCAAGGCTAACCAATATTTTACATTTTTTCCTTTTAACTACTCTATAATCCCTTGCATCAGGGTGAAGTTGGGGCAACTGAATGGAACTGAGCGTTTACTGACTGGATGCCCTTCCTGACAGCTATGCAGAGTTTGCAGCAAATATTTTCTCTTTGCAATCAGAGAGAGAAATATCTATTGCTACCTAGGATTGAACTCGCTGCCTCTTGAATGTGAGGCGAGAGCTCCACCTCTAGGCCACCACACTGCTTGTGGGTGCATCAGGGTGGAATCAGGGTGAATATTTATTGGCCGGGTGCCCTTTCTGACACCTGTGCAGAGTTTGTAGCAGATATTTTCTCTCTGCATCCAGAGAGAGGCATAATCACAGCCTCCTGAATGTGAGGCGAGAGCTAACAAATAACTTACATATACCCATAATACATGGGTATGTAATATTATATGTATACTACTTCCATATACATAATACTTATTGTGTGAATGAGCATTAGGCAGCCATCTTAATGTGTTAAGGAAGAAAAAATGGAAATTTTTGAAAATGGCTGAAATCCTGGACAATAACTGTGGATAACAAAGCTAGAAAGGATCCAGAGATAGAAAGAAATGACCATGTAGATAAGAATGCAGCCAAATACTAATCTGTAAACTGTTTGCTTCTTTGCCTGATATCATCAGAATAGGATGTCTGTAGTGATCTGTTGATTATACAGGGATACAAAGTATTTTTGTATTTGTTTTGAGTTTAATATATGACTTTTTGTCTATAGGGAAAAGCACATATCCCAGTTGGAAAACTGGAAGCTGCACAGCAGTTCCTGAAAACTGTCAATCCGTCGGAGACTAATGACTACATAAATAATGGACAGGAAAAAAAAGTGACCAATGCAGTAGAGGATATGGTTGCTGTTCCTCCACCTTCACCAAAAATACCAACAGATAATACTGAGGTAGTCTATGGTGTTTGCAGCCAGAAAGTTGTGAATCTTAAAAATAGACATAATCATGTCTATGACATAATCATAACCAAAATTCACTTATTCAGGATATAGTCTAGTCAAAGCAAGTTGGGGAAAATTCTTGCAAGAAAATAACTTGATTTTCTATTTGTTGTTTGACAGTTAAATAATATTAGATATTTGAGTTAATATCTAATATTTTCTTAATTTTTTTTTAACCCACGCTTCAGGGTTGTCCTGAAAAAAATACTCCATTCCCCCCCCCTTAAAATTTATCAGTTAAATTTGGGAAATTGCATATAATGTTTCACATGTTTGGTTCCTGTCAGCTTTCCAGAAAAACCCCAACTCCCAAGTAAAGATGAGGAAGCAAACATTTTTCCAAAGTTCTCTTTACTAGAATAGGCAAACTGGCACATCTGGGAAAACCCGAATCTGAAAAGCCCAGGTTTTTCTTCAGTAAGTCAAAGCTCCCAAAACCATCCCCTTTCCCCCCAGTCGATCACATGCTCCAATCAACGTCCGTTCCATCTTGATCCAGCCCCCTGACCACTCCTCCAGATGCTGGATCGCTGACCTTGACCGGCAGGAAGAATGCTATTATGTCTACTAACAACCCCTCTCCTTAATCCCCCCTCCTACTTTCCCACACATGAGAAGGTGGCAGCATTGAAACTTCCAGCCTAATATGGCTTCCAAAGCTGACAGTTCCTTTTTCTCCATTAATTTTGTCATTGCATTATAACATGAATAAAGGTAGTCCTCAACTTACAATCATTTGCATAGTGACCATTTGAAGATAGGACAGCACGGGAAAAAAGTGACTTACAATAGTCCTCATTTTTATGTGTGTCATGGCATCCCCATGGTCATATCAAGAATTTTGGGAGCTTGGCAAATGGCAATGTATATATAACAGTTGCAATCTCTCAGGGTCATGTGATTGCCATTGATGACATTCCCAGTAAACCTCTGACAAGCAAAGTAAGTGGAGGAAGCCAGATTTGCTTAACAACAACATGGGTCACTTAACTGTAGCAATTTGTTTAATGACTGTGGCAAAAAAAGATAGTAAAATTGAGCATGGCCCACTTAACAACTGCCTTGCTTAGCAATAAAAGTTCTAGTTCCAATTATAATAGTAAGTCAAGGACTACCTGTGGTACCTTACATGTTATTTGTATGTATGTTGTTAAGGATGATGTAATGATGGTACAATATTATGGCTGTGCCAAGCATGAATGAAATTTTCCGTGTATAAGACACTACTTTTTTCTTTAAAATATTTACTTGAAAATGGAGGGGGCATCTTATACACAGAAGGCCGAGAGGAGAAAGCCGCACATGCTGGATGAGCCTCTATCTTATATGAAGCTCTATCATTCCTCTCTATTGTAGTTGTTTCCTGTATCATATTGCCACCCTAGGTTTCATATCTAGTGTTTGTGTGATGCATTTCCTGTTCTTGTTGTATTAGTCACTCTAATAAGATGGCTTCTTCACAGTGATGGCTTGTAGTGTGCTTACTACAGGAAACTACATGAAACATGGGGGCGTCTTATACATGGGGGTGTCTTATAGACGGAAAAATACAGTTCTTTGGCACTAGTGATGCATCCCTCTTTGAACACAGTAGCTGTGCCTTTGAAAGATGAAAGTGAGAACTTCCTTGAAAGATCACTCTGGTCATCTGTGCATTCAAAAATAATCGTTTTCCTGGCAAAGCAGCTGTGTTCATGTATGTACCGTGTTTCCCTGAAAATAAGACCTTGTCTTATATTTTTTTGAACCCCGAAATAAGCACTTGGCCTTATTTTTGAGCAGGTCTTATTATTCTGGGGCACGTGGAACAAGATGGGGCTCCTCTTGCCATCTTACCTGATTTCCAGTTCTGTCTCCCTAACCCTAACCAGAGGAAATGGCGGTGACCGGCTGTGCATCAAAAACCCGATTGGGCTTATTATCCGGGGGGGTCTTATTTTCAGGGAAACAGGGATAATTTGGAAAACTCCTTGAAGCAGCTGTGCCAAACTGCAAAGGATTGTATTGCCTCAACATTTTGAACACAGGAATTTCACTTGTGCCAGTGTGCTCTGCGAAGCATGCTTTTAAATGCTGCGCCCAACCTGTTTTATACCTGGGCGATGTACTCAAAAACAATTGAATTCATTTAATTCAAGTTAATTTTTCAATTTTAATTCAGACACAGTCTACAGTATCTTCTACCGAAGGCTGGGCTGAGATTCAAAGCGGTGGATTTTTGCTGCATGGCACCTTTGATGAAAACGAATCTGCAAAGTCTTTTCAAGAAGCTCTGAATCAGTGGAGAAGTGGAAATTGTTCCCAGAAAAGTAAAGAAGAACGTTCCTGCCAGGTTGGGTCAGGTATTGGCTTGCATTTGTTTTGTACAGCAAAACCTTTTGAAACCACCAGCATAAAAGTTCGACATTATTTTCAATCTAAAAGTAGGATATGGTTGCATCTTTTCCTGCACATGAAAACAGTAACAAGTTGCCCCATGTTCTTCAAGTGCTATGCTTGTCTTTCTGTCTCGTTTTGTATGCAATGCAAAATTACCATTCACATATTTAATCATCCATTCAACTGTTTCACCATTTTTTAAAAAATCTCTACCTCTCTGCTGATGTTCTTCCCAGGGCCATGGGGAGCTTGTTTACCAAGCCTTAATGGAATTTCAGTGCAAAGAGCTTATGATTGTGGTAGTATTGATTTTATGAGTCGCATGTTCTTCTAGTGAATAATAATATTCTGGATTATTTTTGAAGGATTTTGTTTAAATATTCCACAGATTCTGTTATTTATTCTACAGTGAATATTGACAATCAAATAAACACGAATAAACATTCTATCAATTTTGGTAGGTGTGTAATAAAAACCATGCATACACTAATTCAGAATATTTTTAAAGACTAAAGTATAATGGGAACCAATGCCTTTTCTTTTGACTCTCGCGGACAGAAAAGCTAGGAAAAAAAGTCATTTGTTGCTAAGTGAGACAGCTATTAAATGAGTTTTGCCCCATTCACATAGCAGTTGTTAAGTGAGTCACTGCAGTTGTTCAGTTAGGAATATGGCACTTAGGAGAATTTGGCTTCTGCATTGACTTTGCTTGTCAGAAGGTTACAAAAGGTGATCACATCACCACCGGGAAACTCATAAATACGAATCAGTTGCCAAGCATCTGAATTTTGATCACATGACCATGGGGATGCTGCAATGGCCGTAAGTGTGAAAAACAGTCATAAATCACATTTTTCAGTGCCGTTGTAACTTTAAACACTAAATGTTTAAATACACACACACACACACACACACACACACACAGGTCAACTGCTCAAAACTGAAAAAGTTCAACACTACTCACAATGGAGGAATGGTTAGTGAAGATGATAGAACTTGCAGAGATGACTAAATTGGCTTCCCTGATTAGAGAAAAAACATGAACTATATTTATGACTGACTGGAAACCCCTTACAGACTTTTTGCATGTACCAGGTAAAAATGCACTTGATGATGATTTTGATGATTAGCAAAAAAAAACAAAAACAAAAACATAGCTAATAGGAAAAAGGGAGTTTATCTTTTTGTCACCATAGAGCAAGAAATAACCATGTACTCATATTTGCTTCAGAGAAAATTGGAAGCTACTTCTATTTCTTTTTATCCTTGTCCGCGGGACCTTTGTCTTCTTCTTTTTTCTTCCCCCTTTTTTACTTACTTTATATTAGTTTTTGTTAGTTTTTAATCTTCTCTTTAAAACTTTTAACATTTTTTAAAATAAAATTACAATCAGGCAAAATTGGTACCTTCATACGCTAAAATAATAGCTAACAATTTTCTCTTATTGTTATAGAAAATTCAGGTACATGTCAGGTGCAGACGAGCCCTCCAATTATGAAGAAGTCTATTGAAATTGAATTCAAAGAAGATAGCTTGAACTATATGGAAAGATTATTAATTAAGAAGCATAGAAGGTATTGACTGGATCGCTGCGCTATGTGAGGGAAACTGCATTTTCAAATGAATCAAACTATATAATACTACTTTAAAGTGTTGCTTTGCAGAAGGATAGCTTATCCCAAATGCTGATTAGGAATGAATTACAGTAATAAAATACCAAGGTCTGTTTTTATTACCATTTATGCAGTTAGCAAGCAATTGCAATAGATTTCAGATTCTTCATCAAGAGAAGAAGATAATTGGAATGAATGTTAGCATTGTAAACAGTTATTGTTTGTTACTGAACTTGAATTATTCAGTTGCTTGTGAGCAAATATTGATGAGAACTGAAAAGCAGTGGATCACTCCTCAGTGTTGGTCAACTGTAGATGGTTGGAACCAAATATTGTTTTATTACAATTTATTTATTATTATAGTTATTTAATACAGTTATTTGTATCCTCCTCAAAATGTTCTAAGGGCTTAAAACAGTATATTAAGATACCCAAAGAAGCATTAAATCTTTAAAAAATGTTCACTTCCCAAAAAAACTAACGGAAGAGAATTATAGGTCTGGAAAGGACTATGGAAATCTTCTAGTCCAAACTCCGGTCAAAGCAGGAGTTTATTCCATCCCAGACAAATGAATGTCCAGTCTTTTCTTGAAAAACACTAGCGACAGAGGTCCCACAACTATGGGAGGCAAGATGCTCCATTGACTAATTGTTCTCACTGTCAGGAAGTTTCTTCTTAGTTCCAGGTTGAATATCACTCAGACTAGTTTTCATCCATTGCTTCCTGCCCTGCCCTCAGATGCTTGGATAATAAATCAACCCCTCTTCTCTGTGACAGCCCTTCACGTATTTGAAGATGGCTATCATGTCACCCTAACCCTTCTCTTTGTTAGGCTAAATATACCTTGATCCCTTAACCATTCATTGGATGATTTAGCCTTCAGACCTCTTATTATCTTTATTATTCTTCTCTGTACTCTTCTTTGGGCCTCAGAATCTTTTCTTTTCTTTTCTTTTCTTTTCTTTTTTTTTTTTTTGTATCATAGTAACCAGAACCGGATGCAGTATGCCAGGTACGCAGAATAGATGGGTGTTATTATTTTTCGTGTTCTTGATGCTATCCCTGTATTAATGGATCCTAGAACTGCATTGGATCTCCTTTCTAAAAGGATGGAGACTAACTAGCTCCACAGGGAAAGCTCCAAAGTAAGGGAACTATGCCATTTTCCACATTGGATCTCCTTCCTAAAAGGATGGAGGCTAACTAGCTCCACAGGGAAAGCTCCAAAGTAAGGGAACTATGCCATTTTCCACATCTCTGTACCCTTGATCTCACTACAATGAGCATCATACCATTCTCTCCTGGCCGTGTCATGTCAGGTGAGCAGATTCAACCTAGAGAAGGCAATCCCAAATAGAGCAAATGCTGAAACCCAATAGGGTCTTATAGGCAACAACTAGCATCTTACATTGGGCTTGGACGCTTATTGGCAACCAGTCGAATAGCAATAGCACTTAGACTTGTATACCGTTTCACAGTGCTTTACAGCCCTCTTTAAGCGGTTTGCAGAGTCAAGATATTGACTCCAACAATCTGGGTCCTCATTTTACCGACCTCGGAAGGATGGAAGGCTGCGTCAACCTTGAGCCTGGTGAGATTTGAACTGCCAAACTGATCACAACCGGCGGTCAGCAGAATTAGTTGCAGTGCTGCATTCTAACCACTGCGCCACCGTGGCTCTCAGATTAGGTGTACTTTCAGATTAGGTGTGATTTTGCTGACACTGGTCAGCAGGTAAGCAACTACATTCAGTGCAATCTGCGACTTCCAGGTCATATTCATGGGCAACTCCACGTTCACCCCTTAGCTCAGGTGCTGAAATTAGTTATAATCTCTTAACCACAACATCTACCAGTATTCCAGCAGGTATCGTTGAATCCACCAAAGGATTATGCACTTGATTTTTCTTGCAGAATACAATTCTATTAATAGATGGAATGTTTAAAGCACTACTTTCCTTATTTTCATTTCTAGAGCTCCAAACGATGAATTGTCATATAACATTATAGTGGATGAACTAAAACTCAAGGAATCATTGTCAAATGGAATTCCTGATACTTGGAACAGAGAAAAGGAAGAAGAGGAGACGGAGAAGGAGAAGGAGGGGGAGGAGGAAGAGGAGGAGGAGGAAGAAGACATAATAAATGCTCGTGAAATAGGTTAGTTGGCTTTTCATACATCACTGTGTACGTCTAAGACAAAACAATTTCAAGAATTCACTTAGTAAATTAACTTTGGGGGAAGTGAAATCAGGTATTAGTTGACTCCAACACGTGTCAGGGGAATGTTTAAATACAACCAGGTATTGCTGCACCAAACCCAAAACAAAGATTTGCAATAGTGTAGAAAATAGAAAGATTTTACTGAGAAAAAGGAAGCTACAATCGTTGAATACCTTCTCATTACTTTAAAAATCTGATTTGAGTGAATCCCAAATGGTACAATTTTAAGGAAAACTATAGTTGGGATTCCTAAATATTGTTTGGGCTTATTATACGAGGGTCTTTGTTTTTCGTTGTCCCTTAACAAGCATAGAGACAAAGGCAGAATCTTCCTTAATTTGGAAGCCTAGCTAAAGAAAAACATCAGCAGAAAAAGTAGCTGATGTCTTTTTTCATCCCAAATCCATTCAATTAAGAGAAAGCGGCAGTACTGCACTTTACTGCCCTCTGCTGAATGGAGAGCTAGGGATCTAGTCAAGTTACCTATATATATGCTTTGGTAAGTATAGAAAATGGGGGGAATACCTTTAGCATAATCAAAAGTCTGCCAAAGTCTTCTGAGAATTCATCTCACCACCAGGGGGAAAATGTCTTTGGAAAGCAAAGAGACAGAATTTTGGATGCCTAACAAAACATTGTTCTTCAGATACTGGCATAATTTAATGCAATTCCTACTATTTTGACCCAAAAAACCCAATCCATACCGTATTACCGTAATTTACTATTAACAGTTGGTATTTTACCTAGAGAATATTTTTTTCATTAAAATTATCTCCTGCCCTTTTTTCTGTACCAGAACTCAAAAGCTCCATACATTGGAATATCAGTTTGTCTCCTAATCAGGCTAAGTAAGACAGCTGTGTTTTCATAGCAATTTATTTGTAAAAAAATAATAATAAAGGCAGGTTATAAACAAATAAATAGAATTAAATAAATAATATGGATTAAATATTATTTAATATTGGCGAACATACCCAACCACCTTCCCTGTGACTCATATCCGTTTTCACTATAAATGGATCAGCCTTCATTAGAAGTAAGCAGGAATGATCATTGTTCTTATTCAGCTAAACAGAGTATTTAAATAATTTTATATACATTTACAGTTGCTAATAAGATTACTTTCATTAAAATCAGAAGAATATATTCTAAACAGAGAAAAAAACATCATAGAAGAATTGTCATTTTACTTAGGTTGTTTTCCATATTCTTTCATTATCCATATAAATCCACATTATTCTCTCATTCATACAGTGCAAAATTATCATTTTCAATAAAGATACATCTTCTAATTTTAAATGTATTATGTTAAATATTTAAAATATTTGTTCTAAGGCAAGAAAACCATATTTTTTCAATAAGTATGTATTGTTACTCTAGTCGTGCAGAAATATATATTGTCAGTCTTAAAAATTGGCCGATGGCAAAATTATTTTTTTTTATTTCCAGCTATAGAAATGAAAAAGTATTGGGCAGATGTATTGGAACAAGAAGAGCCTGGGACTGTTCTTACAAGTTCTGAACCTTCTTTGAAAATCAAGATCCTTGATGATGTGAGTATATAATGCCTGGTTAGTTTTCTTTTAATTTGGTCACATATATTAGTTGGGTCACTTATATATTACAAAAGTGTATAACATTTTCTTATGTTAATTATTTAACAACCTATTTAACTAAGCCACATCTGTTGCTGTGGGCACAGCAATATCAGATGGGACATGCATAGTAAGTTTTCGTTTTGTTGTTGTTGTTGTTCAGTTGCTAACTTTTGTGTCCAGCTTTTCAGGACGCCATGAACCCTGGCACGCCAGGCCCTCCTGTCCTCCCTGGTCTCCTGGAATTTTTCCAAATTCATGTTCATTGCATCCATGACATTATCTAACCACCTCATCCTTTGCTGTCCCCTTCTTCTTTTGCCCTCAATTTTACAAACTTTTTTTTTTTTGTTTAATGAAGGAAAAAGATCATGCAGAGCCAAATTAATCTAACAGTAGCTAAAGTTAAGCAGAACACAGTTTAATAAAGTTAATTGTACTGCAGGTAGTCCTTGCTTAGTGATAACAATTAGTACCTGAATTTCCATTGCTAAGCAGTGTGGCTGCAAAGCTCATTACATCACTGTGCCTCTTAGCGATAGCCATTCCAGCAGTTCCCACATCATTAGGTGAACCATTGTGAGTCTTTAAGCAACAACCTCATGTGACCCCCAACTTTTGACTTTCTGTCAGCTTCCCTGTTGACTTTGCTTGTGGGAAGCCAAGGTTCCCACCAGAAAATTGCAAATTGCAATCAAGGAAAGCTGAGATTATTGGAAATTCAGACTGGTTGCCCAGCACCCGGAACACAATCATGTGACCACTGGGCTGCTGTGATAGCTGGAACTTTGAGGATTGATTTAAGGATGAAAATATGTAACATAATTAAGAACGTCATTTGGATATATCATCAAATGTTACACCAAATGGTTACTTCCATGGTCTACAATAGACGACAGAATCCCCTGGTATTTCCATTTCTAGTCCACACATTAAAGGGTTAAAGCTGGAACAATTAAAGGCATTTCTGTTGGGGCTGTCTATATAATTACCCACAGTATTGTTTCCAGAGGAACTGGAATGTTTTATGCTTTTTGATATATAAAGGTAGATAATATTGAACATTTTATTAAACTCTCTATAGTCTTCATCCTTTGTGTATTGTTTGGTTTTTGCTTTGCTTTTGTCTGCTTTTTTTCTCATTTTTGCCAGCTGTTTAATGTTTGCTAATATTTGCTAATAATGTTTGATAATATTTGATAAGAAGGGACGCGGTGGCTCATGGCTAAGATGCTGAGCTTGTCGATCGAAAGGTCGGCAGTTCAGTGGTTCAAATCCCTAGTGCCACCTTTTGGGGTGAGCTCCCGTTCCTTGTCCCAGCTTCTGCCAACCTAGCAGTTCGAAAGCACGTAAAAAATGCAAGTAGAAAAAATAGGGACCACCTTTGGTGGGAAGGTAACAGTGTTCCGTGCGCCTTTGGCATTTAGTAATGCCAGCCACATTACCATGGAGACGTCTTCGGACAGCGCTGGTTCTTCGGCTTTGAAACGGAGATAAGCACCGCCCCTAGAGTCAGGAACAACTAGTACATATGTGCAAGGGGAACCTTTACCTTTTACCTTTACGTTTAATGTTTGATAAATAAACATCAAACTATATATTTTTAAACTTTACTGAATAGAATCTGTGCTTAGTGCAAACTAATAATTTACCCATCACAATTTTCCAACAAATACAAAGTCCAATCATCTTATAATGTAATTTTTAAGATAAAATATAATCTTTGTATTTATTTTTTATAAGGCTTGTAAAGAAGAGACCGAAGAAGAATCCACTAATTTTATAGTAATGGAAGCTGGGTCTGATGAGCTGATATATTATGGGTAATTATTTCAACATAATTATGAACTGTGCATTTGTGAAAGAGCCAGTTTGCACCTTAAGCTTGATAAATATTCCAAGAATACCAGCAGATCTTGAATGAGTCTCCAGGACAAGATGGGTTGCATGCTATGATATTGAAGAAGCTGCTGAAGATGTGGCCAAAAGTCTTTGAGAAATCTTGGAGTATAGATGATCTACCAGATTACTGGAGAAAGGCAAATGTCTCAGTTTTTGAAAAAAGGAAGGAAGGAGGACCTAGGGAACTACAGACCTATCAACACGACAACGATACCTTGGAAGATCCTAGGGTAGCTCATAAAGTGATCAGTCTGTAAGCATCTTGAAAATAGTGCAGTGATTACTAGAACACGGGTTAGTCCAAAAACAAATGTGGTCTGAATAACAGCCCATTTAAAAAAAAAAAAGACAATAGATTGTAGGCATGCTATGAACATAGTATTTCATGACTTATGAAAACATTTGCTATAATATTGACAACATTCTGTTAAAAAGGCAATAGAAATGAATGGCACATTTATTAAATGGATTCACAGCTATTGTAAAGAGAACAAGTATATTTTTTAATTGTACTTTGGTCTTTGATCCAGTAGCCTTATATTTTTTCATTAATGGGTTGAATAAAGGTTGGAAAGACTACTACCAGTTTTGCAGATTTCACAAATTAAATGGGCTCAGGATTGTCAAACTTGCGGCCCTTGGGGCGGATGCGTCATGCACTGGCCACGCCCACACCCGGTTTAGTGAAGGGGAAAAAGTCACTTATACATCACATGACGCCGTGATGATGTGAGTTTGACATCCCTGTTCTAGGTAATCTTTCATATGTATAGGCTTTCATTCTGAAGTTTATATGGGTGCAAGTATATAAAAAAAACCTGCACGGCTCTACTATCGATCCAGTGCATGGATCTGTTTTCATGAGTTATTTAGGAAAGGGACACCCATTTGTAAAAACCTCAGTATTCTCTCAGTTTCAGGCTCTAAACTAGAACATAAACAAGTCGCTTTAGCCCCTTCACATTAAGCAACCATATTTAATAAAAAATAAAAACAAAAAATCCCATGGTTTGAGAATAATTAATGTAATTATTTTGTTTTCTAAAAATATAATTTATTTCTATGCTACTTTTAAAAAAATATAAAACAGCTTATTAGAATGACAGTGTAAAATAATGGTTTATTCCAATTCAGATAATTGCAAACAATTAATTTTCAAATACCTTCAGTATGAAATCACCAAGAAATCGCCATTTATAGGTTGCAGTTTCAGCATTTGTTAAAAAATGTATGTTTAACTCATAGAAACCTGTGGGATGATGCCATAACATGATAGTTTGATCATTTTAAATTCTATTTTTCCCTTTTATCTCAAGTAGTTCTATGTCAAAAACTCAGAAGACTGAACCAGATGTTTTTCTGCCTCCCTTCAACAATATGATTACAAGGTCACCTCTTTCTTCTATAGTTAACAGAGAAAAGGGCTTAACTTTTCTTTGTAGCAGACATGAAGAAACTCCTAAAAGTAAGCTTATAACATTTTCCTCTCCTGTTAAAGTAAACTTGTGTCAACATTGTTCTAGGCTCGTTCACAAACTTCAGAGGCAGCCTTGCTAACAGCTTCTGTATTTTTCTCAAGGGTACATTTTCAGAAAAACTGCTAATATGCTCACTAGACCACTGGAATGCTGATACATTTTTAATATAAGTATCGTTTACTTCTTGCTTAGCTTAATAGACTAAAAAAACCATGCCATATAGGTCTCAAACTATTTTCATTAGAACAGCTGAAGTAACAGAATCTTTCAAATCTGTATGTGCTTCCCTCCTTCCGTCTCACTTTATCTTTGTGTGAATAAGGAATATGTCAAGTGCAGAAGACCAGTCCACATGTGAAGGTTCAGTTAAGCTGATTTATTTATTTATTTATTTATTTAATTAAAGTTCTATACCGCCCTTCTCCAATAGGACTCAGGGCGGTGCACAGCCTAAGTAAAAACAGCATACAAAATTTAAAAACAGTATTAAAATAATTAAATATTTTGGCCGTAATTAAAACAACCCAATTTAAAATCAATTTAAAATTTAGCTCAAGCCAGCCCAGCTAGTTGAAATAAATAAGTTTTCAGGGCCCAACGAAAAATCCGGAGGTCTGTTATTATCCGTAACTCTGGGGGAAGGTTGTTCCAGAGGGTGGGCGCCGTCACAGAGAAGGCTCTCCCCCTGGGGGTCGCCAGCCGACATTGTCTGGCGGACGGCACCCTGAGGAGGCCCACTCTGTGCGAGCGTACTGGCCGGTGGGAGGCTATTGGTGGCAGAAGGCGGTCTCGTAAGTACCCCGGCCCTAAGCCATGGAGCGCTTTAAAGGTGGTCACCAACACCTTGAAGCGCACCCGGAAGACCACCGGGAGCCAGTGCAGCTCGCGCAGGAGAGGTGTCACATGGGAGCGCCTCGTCGCCCCCATAATCCCCCGCGCGGCCGCTTTCTGGACCAGCTGGAGCCTCCGGGTGCACCCCAGGGGGACCCCCATGTAGAGAGCATTGCAGTAGTCCAGGCGGGAAGTGACTAGTGCCTGAGATTTGTTGCTAAACAGACTATGCACATGAATCTTCTCTGTTAATGGTCAGCACCTGGTTAAGAGTTAAATAAGGATCAACGGTACACAAGGAGGGTTGGACTTATTTCATTTGTGGCTACGTAGGGATTCTAGGCTGATCTCTTTTTTCACTCCCCTCCCTCCAGGTTCTGCCATGCCCTCTCCTACACGAGGGACCTGAGATGTTTGCTCTAATTAGTTTGTTGGTATAGACTCATTCAACAGGCTTGTCTGATGGTTGCCATGGGGGAAGATCATTCCATTGTCCTCCAAGGCCATTCTTTATGCCTTCTACATTTTCAATCATATATAAAACATTTTCTACTGGGTACATGGCTAGAGGAGAAACCTATATGGATTTAATAATTTAGTATTCAGAATAACTAGAGGACAAGGTGAAATGTGGCAAGGGATAAATGAAACATGGAAAATTGTACAGGGAATACCCTTGGCTTTCCCCCCCCCTCCGATTAACCTTAATTAATAAGCTTTTGAATTTTAAATACTAAAATAATATCAGCCGGAAGCTAGCAATACAACAGTTTCAGCCTGCATTTGGTATATCAGTCTGAGAAGCAGTTCTGAATAAAACTCCTTGGTGTTTCATGTGAGCTGATAAAACTCGAGTCCTAATTATTCAAGAGGCTACGTGCAGCGATTTAAACTGACAAGATCTTTTTTCCTCTCAATTCTTTAGCAAGAACATCTTCACAGTTTGAAAGAGCTGATGTTGCTGGTAGTTGTTCCTGTAGAGAAGAAATGACTCCGAACTCCTTATCTGAAAGAGCAATAACAAAAGACAAGAGTGGTAAAATCAAAAAGAAAAGCTTTTGCATGTCAAATGAGCAGACACCAAGTCCTCCTCAACTGGCTGCCAGCAAATCTTTCCCAGCAATGGAGTTAGTTAAAGAAAACAATGTGTCTCAAGGCATGCATGATGCTTCACCAGTTATTCCAGAATATTCTTTGGTACTACTACTACATATTATTACTACTACTGCTGTTTTAGCTTGGGAGGGATTTGTCTCATTATTTATTGAACTATTATTTGGAGTGCCAGTCAGAATCATTTCTGGTTGTATGGTACACTGTACTTTCAGGCTGTCACTCAAATTAAAATGCTTTATGTGTTGGCGGAATTCTTGAATTCATGGGATATATGAGGGAGGAAGGAGAGGAAACATAATCCCAAATTTTGGAAGAGATCTTACATGCAAGGAGAAGCAAGGCTACTAAGATACATGTTGTCTATATCCTCGTGATTATTGATAGCATTCCCTGCCTTTATCTCCTTCCTTTAGCTTCTTTCAGGGGAAATAGTTTCCAATCACACACTAACTTTCTGTTTCCTTTTACTTCACACAACAATTCTTTTTTTTCCCTCTCTCTTATTTTCTTTGTGTGTGTGTGTGTGTGTGTATCTATTGTATTCCTTTTTTGTGTGTGTATTTTTGTATGTATGTTTTTGGTTTTGTGTTTATTGAAAAATTAATAAAATATTTTTTTAAAAAACATGCTGAGGATGTAACAATGGAGACAGGGACTATTGTATCCAGTTTTAAAGAATTGTTGCGTGAAGTAAAAGGAAACACACACTAACTTTCTAAGAGGCCCCCAAAGCGTCTACAATGAATAAATAAATCTGTTTACCTGGCATGCACAAAAACCACATTCCAGGGTTGTTCTGTGAAAATTTTACAATAGGAAATCTTCAGCAGTCAGGAAGGAAATAGGGCCGCCATTCATACTTTCAATTTTCCCTTCTTTAAATATTCTGAGAAGAAAAGATTCCACATTATTATTGGTTGGTGCTGAGGAGGAAGGGAGACCAATGTATTTCCTCCTGTGTTCCACTTGTTTGCAAAGTGACAATTCGAAAAGACCTTTGGTGTTCCTGCAGATGGGTTTTCTTTCAGCGATTTATTCAGCAAGTACATAGCCGTGCCTAGGATGATTCTTTGAACATTAAGATGCAGCTGACGCAGATGTGTGAATCTTTACTGGGTTGACAATTGTGTTTTTCTCGTAAAAAATCCTCCTTAAGGTCACACAGGCCAATCCAGAGCCATCACTACACTTTCCTATTGCCACACTTTAGATGTCTTGTCTTAAGAGACATCTGACCTTTAATGGACTTTTCTGACCTTTTTTTTCCCCACTTCTAAAAAACTCATCCTAAGTCCATTTCATTATCCCTTCCCTTCAGAATATTCAGAACTGCCTATTTAGAGAGTAAAATGGGTTTATTTGGATCAGGAAAAATTGAATACTCCTACCACATACAGTTATTTTTTCTACACATTAGTCACACAACTCAGCCCAGCTCCTGTGGCCTAGAGGTGGAGCTCTTGCCTCACAATCAGGAGGTTATGAGTTCGATCCTAGGTAGAGGCAGATGTAGGGTCTCCTGCTTGGGCAGGGGGTTAGACTAGATGACCTGCAAGGTTCCTTCCAATTCTGTTAATCTGTTAAACTCTTTATCAAGTATGTAACATATACATACTCTTTCTTATACAGTATACAGTTTATTCAGTTCACTGTCTTGTTTTATTTTTTCTTGTCTTTTGAACTCCGCTTCCCACACAGCCATCTTCCCACTTCCCACACAGCCATCTTCCCGCTTCCCACACAGCCATCAGAAACGGCATTGGTCGCGTTGGTTGATGATCTCTGGAGGGCTCGGGACAGGGGTTGTTCCTCTGTTCTGGTCCTGTTAGACCTCTCAGCGGCTTTTGATACCATCGACCATGGTATCATGCTGCACCGGCTGGAAGAGTTGGGGGTGGGAGGCACCGTGTTGCGGTGGTTCTCCTCCTTTCTCTCCGACCGGTCGCAGTTTGTGTTGGCAGGGGGGCAGAGGTCGACCTCGAGGCCTCTCATTTGTGGAGTGCCGCAGGGATCGGTCCTCTCGCCCCTTCTGTTCAACATTTATGTGAAGCCGCTGGGTGAGATCATCCGTGGCTTTGGGGTGAGATACCACCAGTACGCTGATGACACCCAGCTGTACATCTCCACCCCAGGCCACCCCAACGATGCCCTTGAAGTGATGTCCCAGTGCCTGGAGGCTGTACGGGTCTGGATGGGGAGGAACAGGCTCAAGCTCAACCCTTCCAAGACTGAGTGGCTGTGGCTCCCGGCATCCCGATATAGTCAGTTGACTCCATCACTGACTATTGGGGGCGAGTCATTGGCCCCCACAGAGAGGGCTCGCAATCTGGGAGTCCTCCTGGATATGCAGCTGTCCTTGGAGGAACATCTGACGGCTGTAACCAGGGGGACCTTTTGTCAGGTTCGCCTGATTCGCCAGTTGCGGCCCTTTCTTGATCGGGATTCCCTGTGCACAGTCACTCATGCCCTCGTCACCTCTCGCCTTGACTACTGCAACGCTCTCTACATGGGGCTCCCCTTGAGGAGCACCCGGAGGCTCCAGCTGGTCCAGAACGCAGCAGCGCGGGTAGTGACGGGAGCAGCATGGCGCTCCCATGTAACACCGCTCCTGCGCGAGCTGCACTGGCTCCCAGTTGTCTTCCGGGTGCGCTTCAAGGTGTTGGTTATCACCTTTAAAGCGCTCCATGGCATAGGGCCTAGCTATCTGCGAGACCGCCTGCTGCTACCGACGACCTCCCAGCGACCCGTGCGCTCCCACAGAGAGGGCCTCCTCGGGGTGCCATCAGCCAAACAATGCAGGCTGGTGACCCCCAGGGGGAGGGCCTTCTCTGTGGGGGCACCTACCCTCTGGAATCAGCTCCCCCCAGAGATAAGGAGAATCCAAGACCTCAGTGCCTTCCGTCGCGCCCTTAAAACCCATTTATTTAAACAAGCCGGGCTGGCTTAAGATGAAATTTTTAACTGTTTTTTAAATGTTTTAAACGTTTTTAATTGGTAAATGAGTTTTAATTGGGCCAAATTTATATATCTTTTAATTGTTTTTAATATTTGTTCTGCATGTTTTTTAATCTGGCTGTACACCGCCCTGAGTCCTTAGGGAGAAGGGCGGTATAGAAATCCAATATAAAATAAAATAAAAAATAAATCTTTCACTGGACTACTACTTTTCCATAGCAATTTCTGCTGCCCCCCTTTTAATAATATTTAATATCAGTGGAAGCTTAAATGATAAGAATGTACTGAGGAGGATATGGGCCTAGAAAATAGATCAGTGATTCTTGACTCTAAATAGTTAGTTACATTCATTTAAATATATTTATGCATTAATGATTCCCATTTGAAACTCATGGTATTGTGAGAAAATACTAGATTTCACCTGGCTGTTTTTAATATTTTACAAACTTAATTTTCTTATGCTGTATCCCTTAATTGTTTTATAATAGCCTCAAAGAAGATTTGTATTGCTTGACTGTTTCAAATATTTAATATAACACCAGCCTAAAGCATCTACTTAATGTTCCTCCTTTAAATGTAAATTTTTTAAAAAAGAAACCATATTAGTAGAACTGTCTGCTGATCCTGTGCGTGTATGTAAAATTTGCTTCCAGCATTTGCATTGACAAGTGAGGCCGTTTGGTTTGCTGGACAGCAGTATCTTCCTTTGTTATTTCTAGCTGTACTATAGCTGTGACATCCCATTTCTGTATGCCTTTAAAAATGTGTTTTTTATTTTATTCATCATTTTATTCCTGTGGAACCGAGAAAATTTCAGTATATGCAAATCCACTTACATTTCCCAGGCTTCATGAAGAAATCCAAAATAATGCACATAGATAAAGTCAGCATTTTAATTCAGTTTATAGTATTAAATAAATACTATTAATAGATAGATAGATAGATAGATGATAGATAGATAGATAGATAGATAGATAGATAGATAGATAGATAGATAGATTAGATAGATAGATAGATAGTATTTATTTTTAAATATAGTTATGCCTACATTCCATATTGGTTCTATATAGAGATGGAGCTTAATGAAAGTTTAATAAGACAAGAAGTGACTGCAAAAAGATTTGATTAATATTTGGCAATCTAGAAACAAGTTCCACTCCATGTAAGAAACCTAATTTTGAATAGGCAAGACAGGACAACAATGTGACTACTATATTCATACTGAATGCATTATACTTACATTGGTTTCCTAATATTCTACTTTTTCTTCTGGGCAAGATGATGAGCCGTCCTGGTACTTTTGAGAAAATCTCTGGGTATAGGACGTAGCGTAATTAAAACAAAACCAAAACATCACCCACCCACCCCAAAAAAGACCTAATACCAGCAACAAAACACTATCATTTCATTGCCTACCTGGGACCTTAAGGAGAGACAATAAATGATGATAGTCCTAATTATTCTGCCTATGTCAAGTTGCTCTGGATTTTAGATGTTTTAAATGGATTATTCTATACATGAGCTCATGTGGAGGAATTCAAGACAACATTTAGTATTATTTTTCTAATCTTTTTTTTTTATTCTAGTTGTCACAGGTAGCTCTAAGAGAGAAACCTGTTTGTAACCCATACAAAGGACTTGAAGAATTTTTTACAATGGGTTCAAATTGTCTACAACTTAAGATGAAATCCGTTCCTTCACCATACAAGGCCCAAGATTCTCCAAAGAACATCATTTCATTTTCAGGTAGTCCTGCATACGAACATTTCTCTAGTAATGTTTCTACATATTGAGAACATTTTCAATGCATGGTGGTTTCTCTTTCATTTTTAAATTAAACAATTTTGTCTTTATGTGTCAGAACTGTAGCATTATGCACAAAAAAATGTTGGCTTCAGTTGGTATACATGTTATACCTAAAAGACACAGAAATATTGCACCATTTTTTAAAAAATTGGCATTGTCTTATGCCATATGTAACTACTAAGCAATGTCACATTACATTTTATTGTGGGAAATATAATTATGTAAGTATTTGATTTTTTTTTTATTTCTTATGGTTGAGGGAACTTGATTATCAAGAGAGCTCTTTGGGAAATCATTAATTAATAATGTAGTGATAGCTCACTTGCTTAATAAACAACCTAGTCATTAATGAAAAAGCTACACATTGTCGGAAAACACTTTTCCATTTCACTTTTGTTGGCTGGTAAAGTAAATGTTTTGAGTTCATCTTCCCAGATCATTCAGGTTTTAACCTTGGAATGTTTATCATCTTGGGGTTGCAGCTGAGGTCAAGCTTACTTTCCACCAAATCTGTCCAGAGAAAAGGCTATGAATTAAAGGTCTTTCAAAGGTTCCAGTTGGTGACACAGTATGACAGCAAGACAGTGTCAGCTCAAGTCTCAAGAGCTTTCACTGAAATTCATTTTCAACTCAAGGTCAAAGACAATAAAAGACAGGCACATGATACAATAAGTGTAAAAATATTTTTTAAAAAAAAAATCAAGAAAATCGTAAAGCAATTAGCAGCTAACATTTAATAACACGATGGAGGATCCAGGTATTTTCTAATATCTATAGGTATAAGAATTTTTTAGAGGTTTCTGAAAAATGGTTACCACCAAAGAGAAGACAGCCTCCTGGTTGCAGTGACAATTAGAATTATTAACACTTGGAAGAATTAAACATGATTGCTGTTAGGTGTACAATGGACATTTTAATGGCACATGTGAAAGTCTGAACAGAAACAAGTTTACGTTTCATATGAGAGGCTTATCTATGTATGTTACTTATTGCCCCAATAGTTCCCCACTTCAGGCCAAAGTAAATAGAGTCCTATGTAGACACTATTTAGTGTCTACAAATAGTAGACTTTAGACAAACTTTAGTTTCGTGCAGATGGGTACAGAACTGATGTAGCATAGCGTACCATATCAATTGCTATCCATAAAGGCTTTTCCTTAACTCTGTCAGTCCTTGCTTCTTGTTCTAGTTCCATGTACTAATATTAGGCCTATTGTTCTAGAAAGCTACCTAAGTTCAGAATGAAATGTTCAATGGCTGCCAGAGAAAATAAAACAAATAGGCAGAGAGAAATTCAAATCATGGGTTTGAATTCTGTATAAGACTGTTTGGACTTTTTTTCTTACTAACTGCTAAATAGAAAGTAATGATGTAAATATTTTCAGTCACTTTATTTTGTGGCTATGAGCTGATGAGAACTTTTATTTGATCTGCCTACTTTTACTATGTAGTAGATCTATACATTGATTATTTTTAATTAGATCTCCATATTAGCAACAGCTCATTATAGTTTTTTAGACAAATTGATGAATGTAAGTCTGTATTTAATTTAATAAGCCTATGACGCCTTTCACTTTTCCTTTTTTTTAGTGTTTATTACAGAAAGAAAATGAGACTGAATCAAGACATTGCCTTTAATAGTTTGTTTTATTAAAATTTGCCCTTGCCAATTTAAACTGGCTGCTACCAATTAATCAACTTCAAGATCTAGATGAATGATTTAATTAATGCAAGCTTGGTCTTCTAACCAATTTTTTTTCCTGTTGTTTGGTACATAAGTTTCCCATCTTTGCTTTCTCACAGAATAGACTACAGATTTACTGCTTGCATGCTTTTAACAGCAGTTGGGTAGGAAGTAAGAAACTGAAAAATCTTCACCTTAATTTCTCCAGGTCAAGTTGCTATTGAAAATGAAAGATGAAGAAAGAGAGACAGAATTCTTTTAATATTGTTCAAGTTCTGAGAAAGGGTAGTTGAAGATTTAAGTACTGTACTTTTTGGAGTATAAAACACACCTTTTTCCCCCCTAAAAGGGGGTGAAAATTTAGGTGCATCTTATACACCGAATGTAGTCCCGCCCACAGACTGGCCCCCACCCTTTAGCATCTGCCTCCCAGCAGTTTACCTCCTTGCAGCAAGCAGCAAGAAGAAACAGCTGGTTTCAGCTTCAGCACAGCCTAATTAGCACAAGTTGATTGGATCAGCCTCCCGACTCTCAGCTGTTTTGTTCTCAGCTATTTTGCGTGGGTCTCTGCTGCTTGCTGCAAGGAGGTAAATTGCTGGAGCAGATTTTTTTTTTCCTTGTGCTAATCAAGCTATGCTGAAAACGAAAATGAAAGTAAAGCAGGCTGTTTGCTGTTTGCTGCAAGGAGGCAAAATTGTGCAGAGGCAGAGGGAGATTTCTTTTTCTTCTTTTCCTCACCAAAAAAGGTAGGTGTGTCTTATACTCCGGTGCGTCTTATACTCCGAAAAATACGTTAGTTACTTAATGGTGTATGCATTTAAACCAATGGCTGTTGACCAATATATATATATATTTTAAAATATAAAATTTCTGATTGTCTTAATTGGATCTATTTTTTCATCTTCAGGACCTGAGCAGTGGACAAGGCACTTGAGTCTAGGGGAATGTGCTGATGAATGTGTAGTACAAGAAATATTGAACAATGAGCTTGGTAGACCATTAACTAGACTGGGAAGGCAAACTCCATGTACAAGACTTTCTCAGTCAAACTTATCCATTGGTGAGTTCTTTACAAACTAATTGGACACTGATAGTAGTAATTTAACCTCCCTGCATAATTCCTTCCCAACACTCTAATCAGCAAATGAAAATCAGTTGCAGTATTTCAATTCATTGAACATTATGTGTTTTACTCATTGACTATCTGACATTGACTGATGTTAGATATAGTGTGAAGAATTAAAGTCAGCAGTTGAGATTTTTTTATGTATTGGGTCTATGATGGACAGTCATATATCATTTCCCCCAAAAACTATTTTGTTGGTAATAGAATTGCTGTTGCATTGTCTTTTTTTTTTTAATCCTGTAATAGTAATCTCCATAATTGCATTCCTGCATACTCATTCCCCTTTCTGGCCTTTTGCTTGATATAGCATGTATAGAGTTACAGTTTAATAAATGTTTTATTTGTCTGGCTTACTATATAAGCAAGTAGCTCATTTGTGAATCAGGAGAAGAAGCAATATTTTTCAGTCTTTGTTATTCAGGACTTACGAAATGATAAAATAATGTATACTAATAGCAAACCCATCCTCAAGGTTTTGATCTTCATGCAAACAGAATCTTTCAGAAAGAAGAGGGATAGTATTAGCAGACTCATAAAGGTTTGCAGAAATACAATATAAGTAAAATTGCTCAAAGAATATATTAATAATGACAGAATTACTGTGGAGGAGAGACTGTAAAGTAAAAAAGGGAATAAAATACCATATCCTGGAGGGTGGGAACATACAGTCCACGTTACAACAAATATGTCCCATGTACATTTTCTAATATCAATTATAGTTGAAATATGATCATGAAAGGAAAAATATTATACAATAAGAAATCATAATGTTCCACTGTGTTTATTGTTACTTTAAACCAGTATTTGTCTCCTTCAAGATGTGCGGACTCCTTCTTCACATCTTCAAACTGCCAAGATTGAGGAACACTCAAACAAATGATTGCCTTAAAACAATCACGATCCACAATATGATACTTTACTCCCATGCATACTAGTTCTTTCAATGCAGTGCTCAAAACTGATACATTTCTCTCTCTTTTTTTTTGTTTCAGGTAATGCTTCCTCAAGACCTTTTTCTGCAAATATTCCCCTTTGCAAAATGGTTAAACACCATCCTCGCCCATCTTCAGTCATTGAGACAGGATCCAAACATTTAAATACACAACCTTTATCTCAAGCGGCTTTTGAAATTTCAGAAATTTCAGGCATTGATGTCACTGAGAATGATGATCCTTCTTTAGAGTATCACACCAGTCAACAAACCCTAACAGATTTAGACCATGAATTAAAGAGTATTTCAGGTAATTGTCCCAGTTCATCAAAATTGCTTGGCAAAACAATGTAATTTTGTTAGCTTAAGTATCCTTGTAAGGTGTGTATTTTTTGCACATATTGGTATGTTACTTTTTCTAAATTTTTGGATTATTCATAATGAAATAGCGAGAAACGGAAGCATTTGCAGTTTTATTTATTCTGCCCTATTATTGGCTAAAGAATGGAAGATGTAAATAAGTAGTCAAGGTGTAGCATTCTTGTGCAGCATCTGTTTCTAAAACTTGGAACATTCCTTTGGATATAAATACAAAGCCTTATTGATCATATTTAGTTCAGTTTGAATGAATTTATCCTAGAGACCATGTTCTCTTTTTTGTTGTTTTAAAAGAAGAAAAGTGATTTTAAAAGAAAAAAAATTGGGTTGAAAAGCCATTGATGGATGTTTGGGTATAGAAGGATTGGCTAACATAGTAGATTATTTTAATGTGTCAGATGGTCATATGGTGAGTTTCATTTTCTTCCACACAGGAGGACTAGGAAATAGAACCCAAGCTATTTTACTAGAATAAGTATATTGAAGAGCAGAAGAAATCATCTATGGGAACGCTGCTTGTCAAAAGTTTAGAGGAGCAGGGAGCAGAAAGCAAAGTTTGGGATTAATGAAATGAGTTGGAGTAGAAAGAAGTGAGGAAGGATGGATTAGCAAGCAAAGAGATAAATTTACATAATAGGCATAAATAAATAATTCATTGTTTAGTGTACTAGCTTTTGGTTCCTCTCTGCTTTCAGCAAACAGAAATTGCATTTATTTATTAGGAAGTCAAACTATAGTAGATGTTTAAAAAGTGAAAGGGAAAGTTTCCCCTGTCTGGTCATGTCTGACTGTAGGGAATGGTGCTCATCTCTGTTTGCTAGCAGAAGAAGCCAGCGTTGTCCAAAGATGTTTCCGTGGTTATGTCATTGCCATGACTATCTGTTGAGGCTCATGAAACGCTGTTACCTTTCCACCTTGTATCTACTTGCATTGGCATGCTTTTGAACTGCTAGGTTGTCAGGAGCTGGGACAAAAATGTGAGCTCACCCCATCACGTGGTACTTGGATTTCAGGCTGCCAACCTTCTAGTTGACAAGCCCAGCATCTTAACTGCTAGGTGACGATGTCCTGTAACAGTAGATGGTAAAGATAAAGGTTCCCCTGCACATGCATGCTAGTTTCCGGCTCTAAGGGGTGGTGCTCATCTCCGTTTCCAAGCCGAATAGCCAGGGCTGTCCAAAGACGTCTCCGTGGTCATGTGGCCAGCATGACTAAACCCCCAAAGGCGCATGGAACGCTATTACCAAAGTGGTCCCTATTTTTCTACTTGCATTTTTTACATGCTTTGAAACTGCTAGGTTGGCAGTAGCTGGGGCAAGTAATGGGAGCTCACTCAGTTACGCAGCACTAGGGATTCAAACCACTGAACTGCCAACCTTCTGATCGACAAGCTCAGCATCTTAGCCACTGAGCCACCGCATCCCTTAACAGTAGATGTTACAAGCACGTAATTTAGATTATAATTTTTCAGTAGAATTGTAAATCCTAAAACTTGATGTTTTGAGCAATTCATTAGTCTACAACATTGTCAATATCTAAATCAAAAGAAATAGACTATTTTGCATCAAGTTGGGGGTGCATCTCCAACAGCCTTCAGAATATGCAATCCTTACCAATAACAACTTTTCCAACTTATTAACGTCCCTGTTAATTAATGTGGCAGATTGAGAGAATGTAAAATGTGTTGAATCCTTTTCTTTTCACTTTTTAATGCTATTGCTTCCAGTAGAGCATAGTAGTACTGACCTGGCACGGTATGATAGTTCCATAAGATTATAGCAGAGTCAACTAAATAAGTACATATCTATATTACACTGAAGAGTTTTCAGCAATATTTTGAATAAGAGTATTCTCTTCTTTTTTCAAAATGTGTAAATATATTTTATATGTAAGATAAACGTTGTCAGAACTGGTTGTTTTTCCTATGCTTTGTAAATATTTCAGACATCTAAGAATTTCCATTGCATGTAATTTAAATATATATTTATATATCGAACATTTCAGATTCCTGGGAAAATCTCAATGGTTTAAACCGTGGAGACTTCAACAGATATTCAAAAATCACATATCGGGATTTGCATAACAACTATGAATTAAAAGACTGTAGTCAAGGTGACGCTGTAAGGTTAGTTAAACCTGACTTTTATTAAGCTTTGAGAACACTTTTCTGTACATCTCAATATCCCTTGCTTTGTGAATAAAGGCAATTTTCTTATATAAAATATTCCTTACAGTTCTTTGAATAATTTTCTGTAAATAATGTAGGTCTTCATGATTGTTAGAAGAATGGGGCCTTCATGTAGCTTAATGCGTTTGTCCTAATTATTTGCTAATATAATTTGCTTCCCAATTATTAGCTCATTTGAAAAATGTTTAATTATCCATGGTTTGAAAACATTAGATTTTCTCTGTTTCTAATAATAATGGCATCTTCCCTCAAGTAAGAAGTCTGCAAATATACCGTATTTTTCGGAGTATAAGACACACCTTTTCCCCCCTAAAAGGGGGTGAAAATTTAGGTGCGTCTTATACACCAAATGTAGCCCCGCCCCCCACTGACCTTCCCACCCTTTGGCCTCTGCCTTGCAGCAGTTACCTCCTTGCAAGCAAACAGCAAGAAAAAACATCTCTTTTCAGCTTCAGCACAGCCTAATTAGCACAAGTTGATTGGATTGGCCTCCCGACTCTCAGCTGATTTGCTCTCAGTTGTTTTACGCAGGACTCTGCTGCTTGCTGCAAAGAGGTAATTTGCTGCAGCAGCTTTTTTTTTTCCTTGTGCTAATCAAACTATCCTGAAAACAAAAATGAAAGTAAAGCAGGCTGTTTGCTGTTTGCTGCAAGGAGGCAAAATTGTGCAGAGGCAGAGGGAGATTTCTTTTTCCTCTTTTCCTCACCAAAAAAGGTAAGTGTGTCTTATACTCCGGTGCGTCTTATACTCTGAAAAATACGGTATTTTTTTTCATTTTTTCTCCTATTCCCTACCTATGTTATCTAGTTTAGTCATTTCCACCAGGATCTCATCAGAGCTTCTTATGGTTTTAAACTCAGTCTTACATCTGCATGAAAACCCGAAGCTGCTTTTACTGCCTATTTGCATAGTAATAACATCCCATAACTTTCAGAAGATCCAACAACTCTCTTAAACTTATTAATTCTTTGTTCATTGCCTCAAAATTAAAAAGCCTCCTTAAAAATTCTATTTCTTTAGATTTGATTTTTCAGTGGCTGGATGGTATTGTTTAATATACCTGCTGAAAACTGTTTCATAAGTTTTTATAAATGTCATTTAAAGTTCAATTTCTTTGATTTTTTTAATGGGAAACAGTAGAGAGGTCAGTGATGATATACATTCAGGCCATTGGGGCAAGATCTATGAACAAAAGTTCAGAACCTAAATCAAGAGAATTGGAAGAAAGTCCCAAATGCAGTAAGGTTGGCATATTACATGTTATATTGATTAGAATAAGGCATAGGACTATTTTAAGAATGAGTGATAGTCTATGGGAATATTTCTTGTCCCACTGGCTACCACACAAACCCAAACCATAACTAAGCCCTTAGAAGTAGTCCAGGCAAGAAGCACCAACTCTGAGTACTAATACTACCTTTGCTGTACATCTCTCCCTCTTCACCTTTACCGTCCAAGAAACTAGGGAGGGTCCCTCCTTCTTAGGCTTCCATTGCTTCTGTGGCCTAAGCTGCCTCTTATCTAATTGTTGCTGAAACTGCTCTTCAAATTCTGTTGCTGCTCCTGTCTCCCAATGACAATTATCACAGACCATTACAATAGAGCTAACCTATACTTAATGGCAGGCGAGACTTATTTTTCTTCAACAGATAGTCCTCAACCTACGACCACAACTGAGCCCAAAAATTTATGTTAAGTAAAAAATTTATTAAGTGAGTTTTGCCCCATTTTATGACTTTTCTTGCCAAACATGTTAAGTGAATCACTGCAGTTGTTAAATTAGTAACACGGTTGTTAAATCAATCTGGTTTCCATTGATTTTCATGACCCTGTAAATGTGAGTCAGTTGTCGAGCTTCCAAATGTAAATAACGTGACCATGGGGATACTGCAACGGGCATGAGTGTGAAAAATGGTCATAAGTCACTTTTTTCAGTGCTGTAACTTCGAATGGTAACTTGGAGCGGTCATTAAGTGAACTGTTGTAAATCGAGGACTACTTGTAATCTCTTTTTTTAATATCTTTGTGCTTGTGATTGAACAGCTCAGTTGTCATTTCAATTTAAAATTCTAAATTTATTTTTTTAGCTTCTATGATGAACATTATACAGATGATGAGGAAGACAAGATGGACAGACAACAGGTGATAGAATTGCAATGAAAAAAGAATCCAACCTCATATGATCATCTATTTCAGCCTTCTAACCAATCCAAAATGCTTGTCCCAAGTATGGTAGATCAACTAAACTAAACTAAATAAATAAATTAAATGCACATTGATACTAAAAGATAAATGAAGAACAATATATTTGGGATTTTCTTCCTGTCTTTTTCTGTAAGAAAATTTAATTTACATTTGCCTTATGTCTACCAATGAAGCAAGGAGTTAGCTTCATTCAGAAATGTTGTTTATAAAACTTTCTAATTCTTCAAAACTCAATTTAAGGGTGAATGACCAAGCCCTCCAAACAGAACTGTTAACTAGTGCACATCTTGACTAATGATTGTAGCTTACCTGGATATCCACAAAGGAAAGGATGTTATGAATACTTTTCTTAGGTTCAGGATTTGCCATAGTTCTACTTATTTGCTATTGTTCTGCCTATTCTGGAGATTGTGTCAGAATCTAGGACAGTGATGGTGAACCTGAGACACATGGGTCAAAGGTGTCATATCATGACATTTTGGGTGACATGCCAGTGTTCACCAGCACCCAACAGCTATTCTCGAAATCACAGCCCTCACATGATTTTTGGAGACTGCAAAGGCCAGGCAAAAATGAGGTAAGCTCTCACATGGCCTCTGGAGCCTTCAAAAATTACATGAAAGTAACTTTCTGCTCCAGGAACTAAGGCCTCATATAACTTGAGGTTGTCTTGGATAGGCTGAAGAGGCCTGTCAGCAGAAAGAGAACACTGTCTGAAGGTAAGTGGCATGCGAATTCTGGGGATCACAAATGTGATTGGCCTGTTTTTTAAAAATAAATGAATATGTAAGGAACTTTTTTCTTTCTTTGTTTGGAGAAGGGTATGTGTGACATGCTAGCATGCAAAGTCAAGTTATGCATTTTCCAAATTTTTGACACGTCAAGCCCAAAAGGTTCACCATCACTGATGTAGGAACTGAATCCATTTATTACCAGTTTTGATGTATTGTGGAAGTCTCACTTAGCAACGGAAATTTTGGACTCAGTTGTAGTTGTAAGTCGAGGACTACCTATAAAAACTATATACCCAAGATAACTATATGTCTTCTCACATGGCCTGACATTTTTATTATTGCTCATTAAGCATTTATGCGTGACAGCTACATTTTACTATTTGGGAAGCAATACATTAGGGTTTTTTAAGTCATAAACTACAAAGAGTAGTCTGCATGCAAGCAGATTCTTATTTTCAGATGGGGTTAGTCTTTACACACTATGTATAGGCTACTGGTATGTAAGCAGCTAATTGGTCAACCATTGTGTGGGTTTCAGTTGCTGCATCTTTATAGTTATTGAAGCTAGAGTTTGCTGGGCATTCCCACTAGTGAAATGAGAGAATAACAAACCTCCACAGTTCTACATACATATGTATTTAAAAGCTGCATGTTCTACATTTTTTAAAAATTCATGGATTAAAATCCCTACAAAAATTTGGCCTATTAAGAAGCTTTCTTTATCAATTAGAGCCTCTCCCATATTTTAACTTCCAAATATTTTTTTTAAGTGTATTTGCTCTTTGTCTCACGTCTAATTTGTAATGTATATTATCTCAAGACCTTCACTCAATAAGTTGTTGTAAATAAGACCTCCACTCACTGTGTCTTAAATTTCACTTTTGTTGTTGAAGCAGATTTTGTTGACGATGCCATTAAGATGAACAGTGAAAAATTAATTGCTGGTCTGATTTTATATACCTCCTACAGAATTAGGAACTGCTTAATGTTTTTAACCAACACAATTCTTACTTTTTGTGGCTTTGCTGTACTATTTAGATCACTACTAACTTCAACTCTCTTACTGTTGTCAGGTTTCTTGTATTCCTTTCAATAGAGGCTGACTTCATTTAGATGGATCATTAAAGAAATTAATCATTGGTGTCACACAAGTCTGACATGCAGTTTCTATTGACAAATGTTTATCTCTTGCAATAAAAAAAGCAACTTTTATTATCACAATTAGAATGTTTACAGAACCTAAATGAGAACAAATAACACTCTCAAGTACTTTGTGAAATGGGTACAGGAAATAACTGTTCTCCTTTTTTTATATAGTATTAACCTTTCTCGGATTACTTTCCTTGGCTTTACTGTATTTTTCCACTTTCATTGGGAATTCATTATTGTACAAACATCCCTCAGACCTATGCACACTTTGGGAATGAAATTTAACCAACAGGAGAAATTTCCTTGTGGATCAGGCCAAAGACCTATGTAGTGCAGCATTTAGTATTATATAGAGTCAGCCAGATGCAAACTAGAAGCTTTAAGTGGGATGTAAGGGTAATAATCCCTTCAATTACGTACACTGTAAGAATGACTATGTAAGCCATACTGCCATTGATTCTAGTAGTTAGATGCAGCCATCAAAATATACACTTAGTAAACACTAATAGTCAAATTTTCCTTAAATTTGTCTAATTCCATAGATACGTCCCCTAGATGGCTATTTAAATTCATGGTCATCATCATTACAGGATGGCAATGAATTTAATAAGGTACCTATGTGTTATACTGAGAAAAAAATATTGGCCCCGTATTTTTCCATATTTTACCTCAGATTCTAATATAAGAAAGAAGAATAAGGTTTTTTTTTTTACAACAATAAAGATATTTCTTTGCCTTCTTTTCTTCACTCCGAATCAAGAAGTTCCAAATATTAAACCTTCCAAACTTTCCAAATAACTATCCTCTAAGTAATTATTCCAGTCCTCTAATTAAGTTTACTCCTTTTGCAGCATGTTTTTCAGCTTTACAGTAGCCTTTGTGAAATAATTCCCCATCTGACTTTATACCACATATTTATATAACTGCATTAATATATTGGCAGTTTATTTTTATTCCTTATCTAATAACTCCTTGCATGAAATTCAGGTTTTGTTTTTTACAGCTATAACACACTGGGTTGTTACTTTAATTGAGTTATCCAGCATGTCTCTAGCCTCCTTGTTTGGCTTCAGTTTCAAATATATTTTAAGATACACTTTTTATTGTTGGTCTTAATGCTTGTTGCAATCAGTTCCTCAGTGCCTACTAAATTGTTTGCTTTGAAAGGTTACCTAGTGTTTCTCCAGTTCCTTCAGCATTAATTTACACCCTATTTCCTACTCTTGCTTAGCACTAATCATTTGTTATATAAGCAGGCATGCATTGTTCGTTTCCTACACACAGTTATAGCACATTATTAACATTTGAACAATACCAGGGATAAGGAGATTATTAGATCCTGATGAGGATTATCATATCACACAAGTGTGGAGGTGAAGTCTGTATGTTTAGACTATCTTTCTCCAAGCTCGCCTCTTATATTGAATTTGTAGTTCTGGAATTCTTGAATTTATAGTCCAAAATATCTGGAACATAATTACCCAATTTCTGAATGTTTCCTTGATTTCAACACTGCAGTGAAAGCAGCTACCTTAATAGCAAGAGACCTATATACTACTTCATAGGACTTTACAGCACTCTCTAAGCAGTTTTCAGAGTCAGTATATTGCCTCCAAACAGTCTGGGTCCTCATATTAGTCCTTGGAAGTAAGGAAGGCTGAGTCAACTTCAACTTGTCAGGATCGAACTCCTGGAAGTGGGCAGAGTCAGCCTGCAATACTGCAGTCTAACCATTGAACCACCACAGCACATCCAGTTTACAGGATTTTGCTATAAAACAAAATTAACTTGGGTAGCAGTTGTACTGAGCATAGTACACTTCCATGTGTCCCAGCTCAAAGATAAAAGTTTAATAATAATTCTGGAAAAGCAGGCATAGGATTACAGCCTTAGATGTGTTAAAGCTACACACACACACACACAAACAATGCAGACGTGTTAAAGCTACACACATACACACACAAACACACACTGCAGGAGGAATCTCTCTGGGGATACCCTTAAGCTTACTTAGTTACTGCATGAGATAGGAGACCTGAATTGGGCAGTTTCCTATTTCTCAAGTTGATTTTGGCTATTATTGAAAAAGCTGAGTGTTTGACTGGATCTAATGAGTGCTTGAGTAGGAAGACAACGGGTGGCTCAAAACTAGGAAGTTGAAACAAACATCTTTGAAGATAACATTAGCATAATATTTCTCAATCTTGACAACTTTAAAGTGTGTAGACTTCAACTCCCAGAATTCCCCAGCTAGCATGCTGGCAGAGGAGTTCTGTAAATTGAAGCCCAGACACCTTAAAGTTGCATTAGTATCTCCTGTTTTCCCCCTCCCCCAATACCAGTTTAGTTTTCTTTCTTTGCTAAGCTATATTAATATGTGAAATAACGAATGAGGTGGGTATATACATATTACCATTAGAATGGTTTTCTTATTAACCATTGACCATCTTCCCCTCTCCTGAAGATAATAAAGGAGAGGATTTACAGCATTTTGAAATTTACCTGAAACAGCAAATTTTGGAAGTAGCATGCTTCATCATCATCATCATCATTACCAAGAACAGAAATGAGAATTCTAGATAATGCTTGGATAGTTACAATTTTTGTTTAGTGTTTGAAAAAAAAACCAGAATGACATTTACTCCTTTGTAATCATAAAACCCACTTTCTGTTCTGATTAGACATGGCAGAAAACTATTAACTATGTGTGGAGATTAAGTATGTTAATTACTAAAGTGCTTTTTGCCTTACCTTCCAGAAAAAGGCATATTCACTGAGGCATGTGAGAAAAGGCTTTCCATAGAAGTAAGATGGCTTTCATATAATGAGGCATTTGCTTGTTAAAATAAACACAATATGATTGCAGGTAATAATCTGGGATGCAAATGTATGGATGCAAATAATTTAATAATGACACTAAGTAATGTACAGGAATATTTGCTCCTTAAATTAATGTTCCACCAGCCCTTAAGTCCTTAATAACGTATAGGTTTCTAACCAAGCTGATAATAGAAGAAATCTGTAAAATCTTGAATGTTTTCCAGTAAAAGTTTTATGTTACATCACATATTTATTTTCACTTATTATTTAAGGTACTTTATTTGTTTACGTGACATTTTATAAATGGCCATTCCACTCTCTGCTTGCAGGGATGTGCAACAAAAGTAAAAGGACATGTAACACAAAACAGAGATTAAAGCTTCAATTACAAGCTTCAATTGTACAACCCACAAATGAAGACAAATATACTTGTTTCAGGATAACGTTTGCAGGATCCAATCCGGGTCAGTCCCTGGGGCCAGAAGTTTAGTCTACTTAGCTTTTGGACTTACGCTGGAGCCCATCCTCAGGCAACTTCTCTCTAGGAAAGAGAAGTTCTCTCGCTAGAGAGAAGTTTTCTAAAAATGGGCTACAGGATGAGTCCAAAAGTTCAGAAGACTAAACCTCTGGTCTCGGTGACCGACCCAGATTGGATCTTGCTACTATCAAACTGAGCACAGCATTAAGTACCAGAAGCTCCATGAAATAAGATTGCCTTTTTAAAAAATTATTTATTTATTTTGATTTATATGCCGCCCTTCTCCGGAGACTCAGGGCGGCTTACAAGGCATTAAGCAATAGCCTTCATACTTTTGTATATTTTATACAAAGTCAGCTTATTGCCCCCACAAACCGGGTCCTCATTTTACCTACTTAGAAAGGATGGAAGGCTGAGTCAACCTTGAGCCTGGTGAGAATTGAACTCGCAGTAATTGCAGGCAGCTGGAAGCTAAATACTACCTTTAACAGTAGCATTAGTCTGCTGCGCCACTCAGGCTCCTTAAAAAGTATTTAAAAAAACAAGTGAAATAATTCTATAATCAGGCTCCACTGCCAATGGAGCTGCAAGTTGGCCCATAGATGGACTACTAGGTACAGAATTTGCCAAGGAATCAGTGGTGGGTTCCTACCAGTTCGCCCCAGTTCGCTGGTAGCAGCAATGGCAGGAGGCTCTGCCCACCCACCCGGATGTCATCACGTACGCTCTGCGCATGCGCAGAAGCTTTTGCACATGTGCAGAAGCACACGCTCCCAAAGCAAGTGCGCACATATGCATGCTCCCAATAGGGAAACCGGTAGCAAAGGTAAGTGAAACTCACTACTGCAAGGAATGCAAAATTCTCAGGAGGGAAGAAACAATTCTTGAGACATATCCTCAAGCTCTTCCAGTGTTTGGTAATAAGCAGCATTCTGAATTGAGCTTTGAAGCGAACTAGAACCAATCAAATGTGGCAAGATTGGTGCGAAATGGTTTGCAAAATGCACATCAGATAATAATCTGGTTTGTTAAAATGTTATAAGTTAGCTATAATTCTTGAACTTTTTCAGAAGGAAATACCACACTAGAATTGTTAAAGTAATATACTAAAACTACATAACACATCGCAGGATAGGTAGAAATGTAACAAATTGCAATAAAATGAAATCCATCTATAATATACACAAATGCTAATTAAACTTCTAATATTTAAACTGACGAAGATAAAAATGAATGAATTCTGCCCATTCATTCTTTCAATCAATCAATAATTTCAATGTGATATTTAACACAGTACTGCCACGGTAATACTAAAAAACAGAATGTTTCAGTGCTGGACTATCTATAAAAGAGCCTTGGTGGCGCAGCGGACTACACTGCTGTTAAAGTAGCACTTAGCTACCAGCTGCCTGCAATTACTGCGAGTTCAATTCTCACCAGGCTCAGGGTTGACTCAGCCTTCCATCCTTTCGAGGTAGGTAAAATGAGGACCCAGATTGTGGGGGCAATAAGCTGACTTTGTATAAAAAAGAACACCGCTTTGGGGAGGCGGGGGAAAGCCCTACTAAGAAGGTATATACAAAAGTATGAAGGCTATTGCTTAATGCATTGTAAGCTGCCCTGAGTCTCCGGAGAAGGGCGGCATATAAATCGAACTAATAAATAAATAAATAAAAGGGTGATCCCTTCTGGAAAAATGGAGCGCAGTTCCCTGCAAAAATGAAAGTAATAAAGAAGTTCATGTGATATATTGATTGATGAAGATAGTGCTAGA